AATAATTCAACACCACAAAACCTGTGGGACACAGCCATGGACATGCTATGAGGAAAGTATATTGCAATACAGGCCTACCTCAGGAAAGAAAAAAAATCCCATATGAGCAGTCTAAACTCACAATTAATGAAACTAGAAAAAGAAGAACAAATGAGGTCCAAAGTCAGTTGAAGGAGGGACATAATAAAGATTAGAGCAGAAATAAATAAAATTGAGAAGAATAAAACAATAGAAAGAATCAATGAAAGCAAGAGCTGGTTCTTCGAGAAAATAAAATAGATAAACCCCTAAGCCAGACTTATCAAGAAAAAAAGGAGAGTCTACACACATAAATATAATCAGAAATGAGAAATGAAAAATCACTACGGACACCACAGAAATACAAAGAATTATTAGAGAATACTATGAATAATTATATGCTAACGAACTAGATAACCTAGAAGAAAGGGACAACTTTCTAGAAAAATACAACCTTCCAAGGTTGACCAAGGAAGAACCAGAAAATCTAAACAGACCAATTACCAGCAGCAAAATCGAACTGCTAACGAAAAAACTACCTAAGAACAAAACCCTTGGACCAGATGGCTTCACTGCTGAATTTTATCAAACATTTAGTGAAGACCTAATACCCATTCAACTTAGTTTTCCAAAGAGTAGAAGAAGAGGGAATACTTCCAAACTCATTCTGTGATGCCAGCATCACTCTAATACCAAAACCAGGCAAAGACACCACAAAAAAAAGAAAACTACAGACCAATAATCCCTGATGAACATAGATGCAAAAATACTCAACAAAATAGTAGCAAACCGAATTCAAAAATACATCAAAAAGATCATCCATCATGATCAAGTAGGATTTATTCCAAGGATGCAAGGATGGTACAACATCCGAAAATCTATCAACATCGTCCACCACATCAACAAAAAGGACAAAAACCACATGATCATCCCCATAGATACTGAAAAAGCATTTGACAAAATTCAACATCCATTCATGATAAACATTCTCAACAAAATGGGTATAGATGGCAAGTACCTCAACATAATAAAGGCCATATATGACAAACCCACAGCCAACATCATACTTAACAGCAAGAAGCTGAAAGCTTTTCCTTTAAGATCAGGAACAAGACAAGGATGCCCACTTTCCCTACTTCTATTTAACATAGTACTGGAGGTCCTAGCCATGGCAATCAGACAACACAAAGAAATAAAGGCATCCAGATTGGCAAGGAAGAAGTTAAACTGTCACTCTTTGCAGATGACATGATACTGTACATAAAAAACCCTAAAGAATCCACTCCCAAACTACTAGATCTAATATCTGAATTCAGCAAAGGTGCAGGATACAAAATCAATACACAGAAATCTGTGGCATTCCTATACACTAACAATGAACTAGCAGAGAGAGAAATCAGGAATACAATTCCATTCACAATTGCATCAAAAAGAATAAAATACCTAAGAATAAACCTAACCAAGGAAGTGAAAACTACAAGACACTCTTGAGAGAAATTAAAGAATATACCAATAAATGGAAACACATCCCATGTTCATGGATAGGAATAATTAATGTTGTCAAAATGGCCATCCTGCCTAAAGCAATCTATAGATTCAATGCAATTCCTATCAAAATGCAAACAGCATTCTTCAACGAACTAGAGAAAATCGTTCTAAAATTCATATGGAACCACAAAAGACTTCAAATAGGCAAAGTAATTCTGAGAAGGAAGAATAAAGCTGGGGGGATTATGCTCCCCAACTTCAGGCTCTACTACAAAGCCACAGTAATCAAGACAATTTGGTACTGGCACAAGAACAGACCTATTGACCAAAGGAACAGACTAGACAGCCCTGATATAAACCCAACCATATATGGTCGATTAATATATGATAAAGGAGCCATGGACATAAAATAGGGAAATAGCAGCCTCTTCAACAGCTGGTGTTGGCAAAACTGGACAGCTACATGCAAGAGAATGAAACTGGATTATTGTTTAACCCCATACACAAAAGTAAACTCAAAATGGATTAAAGACTTGAATGTAAGTCATGAAACCATAAAACTCTTAGAAAAAAAATAGGCAAAAATCTCTTGAATGTAAGCATGAGCAACTTCTTCTTGAACGCATCTCCTTGAGCAAGGGAAACAAAAACAAAAATGAACTCATAGGACTACATCAAACTAAAAAGTTTCTGTACAGCAAAGGACATCATCAACAGAACAAAAAGGCATCCTACAGTATGGGAGGATATATTTGTAAATGACATATCCGACAAGAGGTTAACATCCAAAATATATAAAGAACTTACATGCTTCAACAACCAAAAAGCAAATAACCCGATTAACAAATGGGCAAAGAATATGAAGAGACAGTTCTCCAAAGAAGAAATTCAGATGGCCAACAGACACATGAAGAGATGCTCCACATCACTAATCACCAGGGAAATGCAAATTAAAAGCACAATAACATATCACCTCACACCAGTAAGGATGGATAGCATCGAAAACACTAACAAAAACAAATGCTGGCAAGGATGCGGAGAAAGGGGAACCCTCCTACACTGCTGGTGGGAATGTAAGCTAGTTCAACCATTGTGGAAAGCAGTATGGAGGTTCCCCAAAAAACTCAAAATAGAAATACCATTTAACCCAGGAATCCCACTCCTTGGAATTTACCCAAAGAATACAACTTCTCAGATTCAAAAAGACATATGTACCCCTATGTTTATCGCAGCACTTTTTACAATAGCCAAGATATGGAAGCAACCTAAGTGTCCATCAGGAAATGAATGGAAAAAGACAAGTATCAAATGATTTCACCCATCTGTGGAGTATAAGAACAAAGAAAAAAAACTGAAGGAACAAAACGGCAGCAGATACACAGAACCTAAGAAAGGACTAACAGTTACCAAAGGGAAAGGAACTGGGGAGGATGGGTGGGAGGGTAGGGATAAGGGGAAAAAAAAGGGGGCATTACTATTAGCAGACATAATGTGTGTGGGGGGGGTTCGGGGAGGGCTGTACAACACAGAGAAGACAAGTAGTGATTCTACAGCATCTTACTATGCTGATGGACAGTGACTGTAATGGGGTATGTGGGGGGGACTTGGTGATGGGGGGAGTCTAGTAAACATAATGTTCCTCATGTAATTGTAGATTAATGATACAAAAAAAAAATGATTTCCCTCATTTGTGGAGTATAACAATGAAGCAAAACTGAAGGAACAAAATAGCAGCAAACTCACAGACTCCAAGAAGGGACTGGTGGTTACCAAAGGGGAGAGGTGGGGGAGGGCATGTGGAGAAGCGGGGAGAAGGGGACTGAGGGGTATTATGATTGGTACATGTGGTGTCGGGGGGCTTAGGGGGAAGACAGTATAGCACAGAGAAGGCAAATAGTGACTCTGTGGCACCTTACTACACTGATAGACAGTGACTGCAATGGGGTATGGTGGGGGGACTCGATAATATGGGTGAATGTAGCAACCACATTGTTCTTCATGTGAAACCTTCATAAGAGTATATATCAATAATACCTTAATATAAATAAACAAACTGAAAGAACAAAACAGCAGCAGACTCACAGACTCCAAGAAGGTACTAGTGGTTACCAAAGGGGAGGGGTGGCGGAGAGCAGGTGGGGAAGGAGGGAGAAGGGGACTGAGGGGCATTATGATTGGCACACATGGTGTAGTGGGGTCACAGGGAAGACAGTGTGGCACAGAGAAGACAAGTGGTGACTGTGGCATCTTACTACACTGATGGGCAGTGACTGCAATGGGGTATGTGGGGGACTTGATAATAGGGGTGAGTGTAGTAACCACAATGTTTTTCATGTGAAATCTTCATAACAGTATATATCAATGATACCTTTAAAAAAAAGTTAATTACCCTCTCTCCACCCCTAAGTTTCCCAATATTTAAAATGGTGACAATACCACTTTCATCAAGTTCGTTGTGTGAAGTAGGTATTAATTTCTGTCCTTTTCCAAATTTCCTTCAAAGTCTATGCCATTGTTTTAAATATCTTCAGTGGTAAAAAATCTTCATCTTTGATCATGAATTGGATCATAAATAAAAGTGACTATGCATGCTAAGTTTAATGAATGAGTGATCAAGATAGCTTTTAGGCTAGAAGGTATTTTCGCAGTAAGAACCCTACACATCTGAGCGACATCTTGATCATATTACTATTAGTGTACTTTTTAGAGAAATTCTCACAGAAGTTCTCAACATTTTCAAATTCTATAGTTGTTAAAATGACTGTTTGATATTATTGATTAATTCTACCTGAATTGCATGCCTCTGACATGCACATAATTTGAGAATATTAAAATTGCCTCCTGGAGACTTTGATGGCTTATTTTTGGCTCATATAAGAATATTTTATTAGATGTCACTGGCTTCTTAAGATATTTTTATTTTGTTCAAACTTCCCTAGAAAGTCTAGAACCAACTGTGTGTGCCTAAAACAATCACTAATCCTGGGCTCCTAAAAACCACAAGGAAATTCTATTGATACAGTCATATTTTACTTTCAGATATGCAGTAAATTATTAGTTTCTGTCCTTTTCTTTGATGCCCATCGAATTTTTGCTGCCACAATTAAAGTGCATTCCATCTTGTCTTATAGTCTATTAGTAAGAGAACAAGTACATCTATAATTACGAAGTCTTTGGCATCTGAAGTAGTTATTAAATCACACATTATCCTTCCTTCTCCAAGTTAACTCAACTTACTTTGCTTTTACTTAAGTTCTATTTTTTTGAAAGCTCAAATTCTAACATGTACTATTAGGAAAATAGCATTTATATACTTTTACTTACATACCATTTACAAGGATAATTAAGAAAAAATAGAATTATGAAAAACAGCAATGTAATAATTATAATACAATTATGAATAATATGAAGACCCAGAAAAGCTGTTGTTCATATATTAATTCTATCTATACCATGGTTCTACTTTTAGCATTTCAGAGCACAATAATCCTTACCAGGAGACTTTCCGTACTGTGAGTTGCTTCTTAGCTCTCTGTATCTGGCTGGAGTGGATAAACCTGTGTCTTTACTAGACTTGCTAGCAGGCTCCATTTCTGAAATAAGGAATCCCATCTGTTCTGAAGGCAAGATATTCTCAGGTGGATTTCTTTGGCATTTTATACTTGCATCCACCTAAAATATTAAACCCTCTCATTATTCTGAATTTCCCCCAAATATATACTGAAAGTTAAGGTATTTTATCAGACAAATTCTACTATAGAAACATGATCCAGCAAACACACTTAAAAAAGGCTTTTCATCTTTATCAATGATACCAACTTTGATTTTGTTGAGCAAATCTGAATATTCAGTAGTAAGATGTGTATTTCCCCATACATAAATCACTGAAATGTATATGGAGCTAAAACATTTACTTATGATCAGAGGAAGATCTATTATTGTTAATGTCTTTTTTTTGTAAAATACACACACACAAAAATGTACAATTGGTTAAGACCATTATCTTCTTCCACTCAAGCATCCCTTCCCTCAGATTTCCCCTCTTGTTGGTTATACTGGAATGTCTATAGGACTAATTCTGTTGGATGATGCCACTGGGGCTATGAACACTTTCTGTTAAATCTGTATTCTTTGTCTCAAAGAGATTCTCAAAATTGCATAAGCTTCAGTGCTATAAAATCTAGATCTACCGTGCTTATGAAATAATGAGTTTCTTTCCTGGTCTTCCTAAGTTTTCTTTGGAAGTCAAATCCCTTCATCAAGGTGACCAACTTCTGAAGTATTCTATTTCCTTATGAATTCATTTTAAAATAAACCTATGTAATGAAATAAAATAAAGCTAGAAGTTAAAAACATAGCTTTCAAAAGCTGTGATGTTCAAATATATTTTTTAAAGAGAAAATAAGTATGTGAGTTCAATCTCAGGATATGAAATGTAATAATTCTGATGTGACTACAAGGGAACAAAGAAAAGACAAGTTTTATTTTCTTTTCACAGGCACATTTGAAACATAATGGACCTATCTTTGATCTACTGAATTTATGATGTTTTAACACATAATATACTGGCTCTCAACAATTGGGCTCAAAAAAACCAATGAATTGACAGAAACCTTAAGACATCTGGATCTAAACTTAGAGCTAAAAAATAATTTGTCAAAAACACACAACTGCCAAAAAGTTACCTTGGGAATCTCTAACAAAGAAGATATTTTCAGTCCCATTAAAGAAAAAAAATCCAAAATAAAAAAATATCAGGCTAAGATCAAGAAATAAACTTAAAGGTAGGAAAAATGCTTATTAAGTTAATTCACAAAAGGTGATTTTAATTTGGGTGTACTTTCATTTAGAATCGAAGTTTACTCATTTTCTGGTCATAAGCTAGCAGCAATTAAGGAACTAGCCTCTATCTTGAATATAAGTCTCTCACACTAGAGTCAGGATTCTGCTCCAAGAATGCAGATACCGTTAAGGGACTTCAAACACAGTATGCTCACAAGTCAAATTAGAACTCAATAATGCTGAAGAAAGTATGAAAAGACCTCCAATAATCTTCCTACCTCTGTGCTACAAATGGCTAGCTAAGTCCTGATATTATTTGTCCTCTAAACCATCAGTAGTGGAATTTAATCAGCCAGGCACACCTGGTCCATCCAAATTAAGACAGGAAGCAAAACTCAAGGGGTGCTTTTAACATAAAATGAAGTTTTATACCACAATGCTCAATCAGGCCGCCACTTTAGAGGTTGACTTCGGACCATAACATAGTGAGAGGATGCCTGGGGGTTAAGGCTACTTCTTTCTGAATCTTTTGTACAGAACCACCAGGACATGATACTTCTGGAAAGTGTAACAAACTGGCATTTAACCTAAATAAAATCTGGACAAACTCTTCATTAGAACAGTCTTTAGCAAGAAGCACTGGGTACTCTGAACCTTATTAGGATTTCTCTTTGCCTCCTTACCTGGTGTGTGCTGAAAGGCAGCCCTTCCTGTACAAACACTACTGAAGATGGAGATGGACTATGACTTGGCTGCTCCTTCGGTGTGACATGAGCTTCTTGGATGGCTGCGGATTCCTGCACTGTAGTATTTTCAACAGGCTGAGCTGTGTGGATGGCGTAGGTGTACTCAGGCGACTGGGGTAGAGAGCAGGTAATTGCTTGTTCTATTCCGACCATGAAAGACGTAATATCTGAGCCTACAGAAGTAAGTGGCTCCAGCTGGCTAGCATCACTTGTGGAAGATGAATTGCTGTTATTTAAATTAGCTAGGATATGTTGGCCTCTGTTACACTGAGATGTTGGGCACTGACTCTCAACAGGCTCCACCTTTACCATCTCCAGGTTCGGGGAGGAATGAAATTCATCTACTATCTGAAAAACAGCCTCTAGATTTACTTCTGTCTTATTATTTTCATCAGTAGCACTGCAAGGCCAATTAGAAGGCAGAAATTCAACTGGATAGGAGGATTGCATTGGAGGATTCTGTGAAAAGAAAATAAGACTGTTTGTATAGAAAATCAAATATGAGATTAAGGGCAAAAGCAACAACACTGAGGATGAACACCAAATATACACAGGCTGATCCTTCAGTGACTCTCACTAAGAAAACCTGAATACCAATCAACTTTTAGCAATGGTAGCTTCAATTCTGTTGTTAACATTTACTTAGCAACTAATATATGTCAACAGCTATACTAAATTTAAAACTAGATTAGGTCAATAATTCTTGGGGTTAAACTATACAAAATCAGAAAGCTGTAGTACCCAAATACCAATTTGTTGATAAAATGTCTATATACCAAATTCTTCCATAAAGGCTGACAAACACATCATTTGTTTCTATCATATACTGTTTTAGGAATAGGAAATTTCAAACACAGGATGCTCACAAGTTCACCAATGCTTCTATAGATTCAGGGGAAGATACTGATATTCTGTTTCAAATGATCTGGGGAAAAATAGATGGCATATCGAATGTCATTTGATTTCTAAGACTGCTTATTTTTAATAATAAAGCAATAGATTAAAAATATCTGTCACTTTTAGATTTACACCTTTAAGATGTATTCTCTTATACATGGTACTTTGCACAGAGCAGGCATTCAATTACATGTTTGGTGATAAATTATCTCAAGTTATGAAAACAAAATGCCAATGAGTTACAATTACACAAAACATGTAATGAGTTGGTATTGCTAAATGCAGAGCTCTGCACAGTAGGCATTCAATAAATGTTTGTTGTTCATCTCAGATTATAAACACAAAATACAGAAGAGTTATGATTAAATAAAACATGTAGTAAGTTGATGCTGCCACACTACAAAGACTGTGTCAATGAAGGACACTGATACCAAATAATATAAATTTAAATGATTTAAGCATCAAACTACTTTACTATATCCATTAGCACCATTTATTGAGTTCTTACCATGTGCCAAGCACATGCAAAGTGCTTTATATACATTATTTCATTTAATCCTCACAAGAGGTCTATATGTGATAACCTCTACTTCCAAATGATAAAACTAAAGTTCAGAGAAACTTCATGATTTACCCAAAGTCACAATGAAATCACGGACAGAGCTGCTTCAAACCTAGGTTTGACTGACTGAAGAGCTCTTGTTTAGAACCATTACAAAATACTGACCATTCATATACACTCTCACCAATATCTACAGTCCAACTAAACCAACTGCATGTGTTCTCAGAATGACATCTGAAAATTTTTCCTTTTTCCATTTAAAAATTTTATGTCTATTTATTTCTATTTTCCTATCATGAACATGTATTGCCTTTGTAGTAAGAAAGGTTTTTAAAGATGTTTTAAACCAGTCATTCAAAACAGTAACATAATCAAGACAGAAACACTGTCAGAGCATCTCTAGTGTGATCCAAGGAGGAGATCCAGTTTGGATCCCCAAACAAAAGCATCTAATTTGTGGGACAGATGGATCTCTCTAGAGAAGAGGAATAGACTGGACTATCATGCTTGATGATATATGCCATTAAAAATGTCCAACTAAGACCCCTTGAACTGATTCTATACTCTTCTAACAACAATATGGTTATAAATCAACTTCCCATGTAGATTTTCTCAAAAGAAAAACAAATGTTCTTTTGAGTACTGGAATGCCACTAGTACAAAATTCTCTTAAAAATGAAAGCCCTTTCTACTAGCTAATATCAAAGGCAAACATATAATCCCAATCTTTAAACAAATGTAACATAAAAACACAAAGGATGTTTTTATGTATTAATAAAAGTATTACTCTTACTTAGGATAAGTATTAATCTTATCTTAGAAATAACAGTATAAAACATTTTAGCCAAAGCAATTATATCCTAATAAATAAGAAGAAGATAACTGAAGTACAGTTTATAACATGGGGGCTGAAGGGGGACCCATACTTAAATTTCTCATTTTTGAAATCGTTTTTCCTTTCTCATTAAAAAAATGTAATTACTTGTACCATCTTGGAAGAATCTGTCATTTGATGACTTATATACTTATAAAGTTTATCTGGTACAGGGATACCTCAGAAACATTGCAAGTTCAGTTCCAGATCACTGCAATAAAACAAATATCGCAGTAACAGCAAGTCAAAGGAATTTTTTGGTTTCCCAGTGCATATTAAAGTTGTTTGCTGTTCTTAGTAAAGTATGCAATAGCATTATGTCTAAAAAATAATGTACTGACCTTAACTTAAAAATACTTTATTGCTAAAAGTGCTAACCATCACCTATGCTTTCAATGAATCTAATCACTAATCATAGGTCATAACAAATATAATAATAACGAAAAAGTTTAAAATATTGCAAGAATTACCAAAATGTGACAGAGACATGAAGTGAACAAACAGTGGAAAAATGGCACTGATAGACTTGCTCAATGCAAGATTATCACAAACCTTCAATTTGTAGAAAAGGCACTTTCTTCAAAGTACAATAAAGCAAAGTGCAATAAAACAATGTATGCCAGTATTCCTTTTAACATGGGAGAGCCTAGAACAGCACTGTCAAAACTAACTTTCAGCAATTGTGGAAATGTTCTCTATCTGCTCTGTGCATTTGGTAGCCACTAGCCAGATGAGCTACTGAGCACTTGAAATGTGGCTAGGGTACCTGAGGAATGAATTTTAGATTTAGTTTTAATTAAATTAAATAGCCACATGTGGCTAGTGCCTAATGTATTGGAGAGTGCAGGCCTAGAAGAGTCCTCAGACATCATTTATAGCAACTCCTGTTTTTTAGAACTGAGAAAACTAAGGCCATAATCCACAGCTTACCTCTGGCTACTCATTAAGATAAAATTAGACTTTGAAATACTGCACAGTCAGTAATATTGCATGTGAAGCACAGAGTATGTCCATTGTTCCAAGAATCTTACCTGGAAATAGTTATGGTACGCATAGGAAGAGGCAGCGGGAGTGACACAACTACTTAGAGCATCCATGTGGGTAGGAGAACAGCACTGTAGCACAGCTGGAACAAATTCAAACACAGAAAAGCCATCAACCCAAATAAACCTCTGTAGCATTCAAGTTGCTCCCCTCTTTCAACTTGGAAAGAAAAATTATAAAAGCTTTCCTATGTGGGTGCAATAAAATTATATTTAGTCCAATTAGGTGCTATTATTTGTTAAAAACAACATGGTAATAAACTAAAAGTCATTTAAAATGGTCATGTTATTGCCTTTCTAGCCAAACATTTATTCTCATTGAAAGTAATTTCATTTTGTTAAAAATATATATATCAGAACATATTTGGAATTCCAAAATAATTGTCTCAATCATTTTAATAGTAACAAACATTTGGAGGAGGGTGTGTTTTTAAGGATAAAATAAGTAAAACACTCTCCAAACATTCTTACCATTATACAGTGCTTCCAGTGAAATCTATTTAAAACTGTTTCAACCATTTAAACAGTGGTTAGGAATTTGGATCTTAGAGCCAGACTGCCTTGCTTTGAAGCCCAGCTCCAAAATTTTAATAGCTGTATATAAACTTGAGCAAGGTTAATCTCTTTGGGCCTTGGTTTCTGCATCTTATTAAGATAGGAATAATAGTATCTACCCCAATACATTTGTTGTGAGGAAAGAATGAGTCAATATGCATAAAACACTTAGAACCGTATGGGCATATAGTAAAAAAATCAATCAATCAATAGCTAACACTGCACTGCTATTATTTTAACTAAAGAAACACATATTTCAAACTTTCTCTTTCTAGGTAGAATACCATGAAAAGACTGAACTCTTTCCAGAGATTCTCCATACTGAATGAGAATCAGTTGTAACATCACACCTTGGGATTAGACAGAGGATGATATTTATTGAGCACCTACCATGTTCCAGACACAGCACTAGGTGCTTTGCATATATTGCCTCATATAACCCAAACAATTGAATGAAATATTAACATTACTTCATAAAAGTAAGGAAACTAACACTGCTGATATTAATTTGCTGAAAGTCACAAAGCTGGTAGTGATAGAGCCAATATCCAAACTTTAAAGCACATGCTTTTTACTATACCACAATGCTTCCCCAATCTTCCCTTCTTCCTAAAATATAACACTTTAATTTTACTACTTTACAACTCCACTTGCTGAACATTTTTAAAGTGTCTTTATTATAAGGTGGCAACTTTCTCTTTCCATTTCCACATTATTCATATTTTGAGTGTGCTAACAATTACTAAATAATCTCATTACATAATCTTTGAAAGTTAATTAGCCTAAGGATTGTAAAAATTCACTGGAATGCATCCCTATTTCTCTATTACTGACTACTGATTTTTAAAATGTCAGAAGTTCATACAGGCATACTAGAAATAAATATTTTACCATTATATCATGTATAATTTAAGGAATTAAATTTTGTACATGGAAGGAAAAATTTGAAATAATGGACAGAATTCTAGTTCAGATACAAATACGAAGGGTTAATGTGTCTGAATGACATCATCTTAATTAACATCTAATGATTTAAAAAGTCAGATATTACTAGAATGGCCACATAAAATTCAAGCTATTATCACTTCCAGTATAGGTTAGGCAAACAAGTTCTTACACTTTTATCCTTCAAATACATAATTTAAATGTTTTCATTTGAATTTGATTTCCCAAGATATTTCAAAGCATAAATATTATGGGAAATAAGTTAAATCCAAAAAGCAGAATGCCAAGGAGGGTCTGCAAAGCTTTGACAAAACTGGTTTGGGGGTGGAAAAAACCTGGGACGTTTTTCTAGAGGTTTAACAGCTAAGGAAAAACTAGCCCCCTAGTGGCAGTAAAGACTCAGTCAGGAACTGCAGGTTTTCACCCATCAGGGTACTATAAAACAGCACTTCACTACAAATCATCAGTGAAATATATCAGCCTTATTTTTCTGGTATTCTTTTGACTACAATGGTTACTCATTTTAAACAGCTGTTAAGTTATACTTTAAAATAAATTTATTGGAGAAATCAACTAGAATTATACAATAGAGAATACATATTAGTAACAGTTGATAGTTGAATTTGTATCCAAGGAAACAGCAAAATAAGAATGTCCTTTCAAGTGTCCAGTAACAAATGGAAAGAAGAAAGGTACCCTGCCTGAAGAAAAGGAGGGCTTGAATATACAATCCAAAAAGATTTCTCAATAGCTATTTCCTTACCAATGCAGTCCTACTTTGTATAGTCAACACTAGAACAAAGGTATTAGTAAGTTTATTGAATATGAAAAACCTAGCTATAGAAATGCAATTGTATGCTTAGTACATGACAAATTAATCTAGTTCGTATTCCGAAAGCATTGTGAAGGCACCAACATGTATAAAACTGAGTTTGCCCCTATGTTCTAACACATATTCATCTGCATAAAGATCTTCCAGTGTCTTCCTGAAGGTAGTTCACTTGAGGCATTAAATTGCATGTAGAATGAAAAACTGGAAATTATGGACAGAATTCTTTTTCTGATATAAATATAATAGTGATGATATTTTTAAAAACAATTCTTATAGTGAAAAAAGTTAGGAATACTAAAAATGATCTAAAAGTAAAAATTTTGAATCTCACCATAGGTTAGGAAAACAAGTTCATACACTTTTTCCTATGGAAGTAATTTAAATTCTTTGGACTTGAATTTACTCCAAAATAGTACAGTATCAACCGTGAGAAATGCCCAATAAAAATGCTCAAAAGGAAAAATATCCTAAAAGTAAGTTTACATTCAAGAAATATTATTATAGCAACTTGAACCACACCATCTCCTCATTTATGGTGAGGTAAATAAAAGGCCCTCTGGACATATACCCAAAAAGAAGTAAAAGCAGATATTTGAATAGATATTTGTGCACCCAGGTTTATAGCAGCACTATTCACAATGGTCAAAAGGTGGAAGTAACCCAGGGTCTATCAACAGATGAATGGATAAACAAAATGTGGCACATACATACAATGGTAAAGTATTCAATATTAAAAAGAAGAAAATTTTGACACATTACAGTATCAATGAACCTTGAAGATATTATGCTAAAAGAAATAAGCCAATCACAAAAGGACCAATATTGTATGATCCCTCTTATATGAGACTGCTAGAGTTGTCAAATTCATAGATACAGAAGGTAGAATGGTGGTTGCCAGGAGCTGGGAAAGAGGGGATTGTGAATGGGTACAGAGAGGTTAGTTGGGGAAGATGAAAAAGTTCTGGAGATGGATGGTGGTGATGCTAGTATGCAACAATGTGAATGTATTTAATACCTTAGAACTGTAACTTAAATGGTTAAAATGGTAAAAGTTTAATTTCAGAAAATATAAAAATAAATATAATAAAAAGAAAGGTAAATACAATTGTGCTTTTGCCTAGCTTCTTCTGGCAGCTCAAGAGAACTTCCTGGTGTATTTCTGTCAAGTCCCTCTTTCCATAAGAACAAACTGAGACCTTTTAAGAACAGTAACAATACAGGCTACCTAAGCACAAGAGTATAGCATTGGAAAGCTCCTATAACTCTAGATTCTATATTTGTTTATGTACATTATGTAGGATTAGCAGCCTAAAAGATCAAATCCTTAGAATTTAAATGTACTTTAAAATAAACAACTCTTTTTTTGCCCAAGAATACAGAAAAAAATTTAAATAACTATATAAAGGATATCTTTCAATAAAAAACAAAAATATATGTACTTTGAAGGGAAATGTATAGCTTTTAAAATATTTTTCCCTTATATGTAAATAGTTTTAAATTTTCTCAAGTCTATATTCACATACATTAAATCATTTAGCCCCTGACCTGAACAATCAATGCCACTTTATAGAAAGGGATATTGAGGCTGAGTGACATGAAATAATCCACTGAAGGTCACTTTGGATGATTAACTGCAAAACTGAGTCTACGATTATTTCATTCCATTTAATAAATTATTTAATAAGGGCCTATTATAGCCAAACACTAAGCTAGGTGTAAGGGGATACAGAAATGAATTAGAGGCAACCCCACTCAGAGGCCTCAACTGGACCTCCCACTCTAGCAATTGGAACACATTCTCTCTAGTTGGTCAGGATGATCCAGGGCATTCCCTCTGCAAGTAACACAAAGAATCTCTCCACCAATCTGTTGTCTACCCTATCTGGGAGTATTTAACTTGAGGAGGACATACACCAGGAAAGTCTCTCAAATGAAAAAACAAAAGAAAAAGTCCCTCTTTGCATAGAGGCAGGCAGGCAGGAGGGCACAATGGCCAAAGGAATGGACTCCTGTGTCAGTCTGCCTTGGTTACACCCTAGCCCTGTCTCTGCCTTGTTGTGCTTTGGTTCCTTATCTATAAAATGAGGATAATTACATTCCCCATCTTGTAAGTTGGCTGTGAGGCTTAAATGAATTAATATTTGGAAAATACTCAGAACAGTGCCCAGTCATAATGACTGTTATATAAATAATTGTGAAATAAGAGATAAAGGGCAGCTACAAATTGCTAATCACTGCTTTGAGCTTAAAACTTAACTCTGAAAAAACTCAAAGCTGATTTTGAGACAATTCAGCATTACAAAGTCAAAGGAAAACAATTCCTCATTGCAAGGCTCACTGTCTAAATAAATATGAATATATGAATCTTATGTATGTTCAAATATATAAGGAATAAGATAAAAAAAAGTCTAAAGTGAAGTTTTTTTTTATTTAAAAAAAAGGGAAATTATAGTAGCACCCTGATAATATCTTCAGAGGAAAAAACTGAACTTAAGATAGGGCAAGAATAGAGAGTCAACTGATACTAGATCTGCAACACTGTCTTTGAAGGAGTGGTTAAGAGTAGAAAAAATGTAAATGAGCTAAGCATGAAAGCAGGCACTTCAAGAAAAGAATGACAAATACAAGAAATTATTCAGGTAAGTCACTTTATGAATCAGTCTGATAGCAATTTTATAATGTCAATGTTTGGCTTTACTAAAGAAATTAATGATTTACTAAGTATCACAAAATTCAAAATGTACTGGTTATACTATTTGAAGACCAGATCTAAGTTTAGTGTCAATATAAATGATTTTTAAATGAAGTTGGATGTTGTTTTTTACTCAAATTTTATCCAAACTTCAAGTCATATAGTTTACTTTAAAAAGATTCAAGTATAACCATTAGTTACTTTATTATGATTTAGAGAGCTGGATTTGGGAGTGATTGTTATCCTGCCACTGAGAATGATACTCTATTTAACTTTGGGAAAGTCATTTGTAATGTTCTTCATAAACATGCTCACTAAATACTGGTTAAATTGTTCACTATTTTTTGCTTTTTTCTAAAATTTGCAGGAATTAAGTACTTATACAGTATTTTTATGGCACTTTCTTTCCCATAGCAGGACTTTCGTATTTAACAGTACAACTTTTTATTTAGGCAGTACTTCAGAATGTTCAAAGCAGTTTTGCCCATGTTTTATCATAGAACTACTCTGTTTTTGAAGTCATCATAAGATTGTGAGGTTTCCTATTCCACAACCTCAGAAACTTTACATTTCAGTATTTCAATTAACCCTCTCAAAGTCAAAACAAAAATCTAGATATTAGAAGGTTCTATTTCAGATGCACTGTATACTACTAAAATATCAGCAGCATTTACTTGTTCTTTCAAGACCTCCTTTCTGGTCCTTATCTTGAACTCTTAGAGATAGTTTTCAACTGAAAAGTATATAAGCTGACACTAACATAAAATATTTTTTAAAATAACATATCCCAAATCATAATAATTTAACAAATACTATTCCTATAATGAACAAGTAGTCTTAACTATCTGCAATGTCTTGTAAATAATAGGTAAGTGGTTCTCAAAATTTAGAACTAGGAGTTTCCAAGAGACTTGCTTGGAGCTTGGAATACATTTTCCTGTAGAAACTATATCATACAGGCTAGTTTGGCTCCTAGGCCAGACTAGAACCACCTGTACCTTAAGTGTAGGACTAGCCATGTTAATAGAAACTAATCACTGTGTCTAACATATCTGTCCACAGGAAAACACTTCTAAAATTCCAATTTGGAAGGCCAAGTACATTTTCTGTATCTCTCCATGGCAGTCCTTTCAAATTTCAACTCCCCAGAAGCTTTTTAGTCTTCAGTAGTTTAAGGAGGGGGATTTGGAGGTGAGTGAGGAAAGGAAAGAGAAACAGTTATTGGTAAAAGGAAGAGAAGTAGGGTACTGTCCAGTTAATACTGGAATGTAAAGCAAATGTAAAGAAGCCACAGACTCTTCTATGCTGCCAAAATGACAATTTAGATAGCAATGCCTAATTTGTTAATTAAAATATTGTGTTAAACTCCTTGTTAATAAAAATCTGACCCTATTTGTTGCTATGCAAATAAGATACATAAGATAAATAACTTATAACATGAAATTAGTTATCTTCCATTTTTTAAAGATCACACAGATATTGTGGTTCTTCAAATAAGTACCTAAAAACCTGGAAAAATACTAGGCCTCAAATTGTTTCTATATAAGAAGGTTAAAAAAATATATTTCTAAAATTTCTAATGGGGAAAATTATTAAAAGTGCTAAATCATCCTTACTCTGTATAATTCCTTCCCCTCTCCTTTCCAACTCCATCCACCAAAACGGTGGCAGTTCTGAAAATCTATAAAACCTAATCTAATTTAAACTCTTATTATTTTAATATTAAATGCTTTGAGAAAATAAAGCAATCCCTTTTACTGTTATATATGGGTGGAATGCAATGAGCCAGGAGTAAAAGAACATAGTTGGATGTTACAGCTAAAATGGTGAGTACTGTTACAAATAGAACAGTTACCAGATTAATAACTTTAAAATGTCAACAAATTATCCAATTCCTTATCTAATTTACATTCTTCCCACTATTTCAGCTTTTGATTTCATCCTGCCTGGGAGAAGTGGTCTAATAAAATACTTCTAGAGGTCGCTTCCAGATCTTATTTTTAGTATCTTAATATTCGTAGAATCTTAATTCACAGGGCAAAGGCATGATGCTTCTTCTCTCTCTGGTCTTTTCTGAAAGCCTTGACCCTTGTCTTGTTCTTATTGCCCCATTTCATCACTTTGTATAAATAACACCACCATTATGGTTTTTCTGCAAAACTGAAAATACATTTGAATGAAATGGTAAGGCTATTATCTTGCCAAAATGTACCCCCACAAAAGACATGCCCCACTCTACCCACAAAGCTAAACAAACAGCCACTTTCATAAGGATTCCCAGTTAGTGACTTGAGATCTACCAGTATGTTTTCAATACCCTTGGTTGACTCTAAATCAGTTGTCATTGTCAGGTTCTCCTTTGCTCTGCCACTCCCCAGGTCTTAGTTGGCTAGGATTAACACTGACGGACTACACTGTCAAACCACACCATCACATTTTCACTAAAAGACCATAGTTTTAAGAGATGGAGAGTATGTCCTTTTATTAAACTTCACTACTGAGATACTAAGATGATTTCATTATGATATAATCTCACCCATAACATGAAAAAATATAAACTATGTATAATAGATAGAAATACTTTTTTGAAAGCAAAAAACCAAAATATTGTTGCACCAATGGCAGAGTTCAAATAAGATTCTGCTGTACTAAGTTTTAATTTATTAGGACACATTTCAAGGATATGAAAGTTTCACTAAAAACATACACCTTTATGTAACAGCAGAATTTCCACAATCCTTAAGAACACAATGAAATTTTATGTATTGCTTAAAAATATGTCCTGATGAGAAATTTTTGACATTTCTTTAGTGCATATTCCTGCTATTTTTAAGTATGCAGAAATGCACTTAAAAATATAAATGCTCATTATAAAGTACTTAAACAGAAGCCACTTAACGTGAATTTCTCATACCTGTTGGATAGTAGGCTTGGGAGTACTGTGCTGAGGATGTGTAGTTACTGTATTTTTGGGAGGAACTGACCATTGTTTGAGGACCTTGCTGAACATGTACAGATGTGGCGCTGGGCTGCAGGGTATAGGTAACCTCAGGTGGAAACCTCTGCAGTATAGGAAATGGAACACCTTTATCTGAAAAAGTGGGAGACGTTTCCACTTGTCCTGGGTTCATTCCAAGGGAGTTTTGCCATGTTCTAGGAGGAATCGGGGTCCGATCTAAACCTTTCAGAGGAAAAGTACTGTGGTTCTGGGATGAAGCTGATGCATAGGAGTAAGGAGACAAACTATCTTGCTGGAATGACTGGTGGATTTGTCCTACAGCCACTGGTCCTGCATAAAAGAGGAAGAGCACATTTACTAATTTTATATTACACCACTGGATGTAGTAAACCAAAAGTCACAAAATATACACCACTCTTCACCTATGAATAGGTTGAGTTCTCAGCCATTTTTAACACAACAAATATTAAGTTTTGGTCAAAACAAGTTCAGAATCCACAACAAGAGATTATATATAATCTGAAAAAAAAAACCCGAAATAATCCTTTGTTTAGTTCTCAATGTAACTGTCATTAGAGAAAAAGTAGCCAAATTCTAACATTAAATCAAATTCAATGTTAAAAAGTCTTTTATAGATGATTCAGTCATCATACCTCTTACTTCAATTGACCTCAATTTTTCCAATCCATAAACTATTCCCTAGAAGTTCCAGAAATTTCAGTCTTTCAAATCATTTAGGAACCTTTGTAATAGGCATAAAAACAAGTGCTCAACCATATATACAAAAGAAGTAAATGTAGGACAAATAAGAATTATAACACAAATCAAAAAGATTTTGTTCTTTGCTCCCTTTCAATTTATCTTTTTTAATGATATCTTTGCAGAAAAGTCAGGCTTGAAAACTGACTCAGTTCTCTTCTTCATACCTTAAATCAATGAGTAATTTCCCATAGTCCTTTTTTCTTCAAAGTATCTTTAATGTCCCTTCCTAGGTATCAGTGGCTCTCAAACACTGATTTAAATCTGAATCATCTGGAGAGTTTGTTAAAAATCCACATACACAGTCCCAGAGATTCTGATATTTGCTTTCTCTTATCTAGCAATATAGAAAGAAATTTAAAAATGGAGATGAGGAAGAGATAGGGCAATACTATATAGTGAGGAAAAGGGAAACATAAATATTGGTAACAGAACTTAATTCACAGACTGTGGTTCTTGAACATAAACAAAGCTAGCCTAATTTATTCATACAAAGGGCATTATGTATTATATTAGATGGTTCACAAATCCCTTTCAATTTGTTTTATTAAACTAATCTAACAGAGGGAAAGTCTAATTATGTGCTACTCCTCTGTTAAATACAAGATGAAAGAAGGCACTCAAATACTACCTTCCCAATTTAAATGGTAAACCTATTCAACACGCAACACATCTTACATTCTGTTTCTATGATGCTTAATTTCCTCAAAAGAATAAAGCATTAGGGAGCACTCCTAACCACTTCTGGTTTGGCACTGCCTGATCTGACTCAAATTTTGCTCAAATAAACTTTTAAAAATAATAAAAAAATAAAAAAGAATAAAACATTAATGCCAAGAATAAACAAATACATATTCATACAAATTGTGAAGCCCTGGGAATCAAGAGCTCTAAATCTAATGGTAAAAAAAAAATCTTAGGTCAGAAGACTGAATGTATTCAAATGGTACACCTCTTAAAAACTACATTTCCTTTTCTCCTTTAAAGTATAAAAAACAGTTTTTATGCTAAGTGACTAGCAATTCCATATGTATACACACTTTGAAACCATCACTGACAATCCTTTAAGACTAAAGAAACATTTTTTGCTCTTCACAACAGATATTCATGAGGTTCAAAACTACCTACCACTTGATTTTTCCTGGGATGCTTCACATGCTCACATTACATATTACTACAGTGTGCAAGAGCTCACTAATCCTTCTGCCCTCTCTGGGTTAAGCTGATGATGAATTTTCAGACTAGACAATTTAAGTAGCTAATTAAAGAATTCTCTACCTTGATTTCTCTAAATGGAATTTAGATATGAATTAAAATATAAATTCTACTTCTATCATGGGAAACTCTCAGTGGTGGCCAAATACTTACATATTTTATTTATTTATTTATTTTAAACTTATTATTATTATTTTTGGTACCATTAATGTACAATTATATGAGCAACATTATGGTTACTAGGCTCCCCCCATTATCATGTCCCCCAAATATTTATATATTTTAGATGCTGCTAAATACGAACACTGTTAGAAGAGCATTCCTTCAAATTGGTTTGTTTTTTAAAATAAAGAGTAAGGTCAACAAACAAAAAACAAATAATCCGATTAAAAAATGGGCAGAGGAGCTGAACACACAGTTCTCCAAAGAAGAAATTCAGATGGCCAACAGACACATGAAAAGATGCTCCACATTGCTAATCATTGGTGAAATGCAAATTAAAACCACAATGAGATATCACCTCACACCAGTAAGGATCGCCACCATCCAAAAGACAAACAACAAATGTTGGCGAGGCTGTAGAGAAAGGAGAACCCTCCTACACTGCTGGTGGGAATGTAAATTAGTTCAACCATTGTGGAAAGCAGTATGGAGGTTCCTCAAAAAGCTCAAAATAGAAATACCATTTGACCCAGGAACTCCACTTCTAGGAATTTACCCTAAGAATACAGCAACCCAGTTTGAAAAAGACAGATGCACCCCTATGTTTATCGCAGCACTATTTACAATAGCCAAGAAATGGAAGCAACCTAAGTGTCCATCAGTAGATGAATGGATAAAGGAGATGTGGTACATACACACAATGGAATATTATTTAGNGGACTAACAGTTACCAAAGGGAAAGGGACTGGGCAGGATGGTGGGAAGGGAGGGATAAGGAGGGGGGAAAAGAAAGGGGGATTACGATTAGCATGTATAATGTGGGGGGAGGCATGGGGAGGGCTGTGCAACACAGAGAAGACAAGTAGTGATTCTACAGCATCTTACTATGCTGATGGACAGTGACTGAAATGGGGTTTGTGGGGGGGACTCGGTGAAGGGGAGAGCCTAGTAAACATAATGTTCCTCATGTAATTGTAGATTAATGATAACAAAATAAAGAATAATAATAATAAAAATAAAGGGTAAGGTGAGATCAGCTCTTATTTATTCTTCTTTTAGGGGTTACCTCATAGGGTTTTATTCTGACCAACTTTACAAACATCTACATGTCTTCAGAACATATTTAAGATATATTTGGTAAAGCTTAAATTCAAAATTCTGGAAATGCAAGGAAGGATGGATTTCTGTTCTTGAGGATTCTAGTCCTTCTGTGTAAATGAATCTGAGTTAATCAATACCCAGGAAAGAACTTGCCTCTTGCCCAAAACTTGCCTCCAGAGCTTGGTATCCCCAAGCGAAAAGTTATTAACTATCTACCATGGCTCAGACTTAACAAATACCATAAAATAAACTGCCACCAAAAACAAAATAACAAAAGTGGGCAAACAAAAAAAGGAAAAACGTGATTCTCACATTTCTTATCAAGTACATTACTGAAAAGTAAACAAGACATCTGGCCCAATGGATCTAGATCACTAGTTCCTAAAACAGAGGGTTCTACTGTAAAAGAGAAGTATCCAAACTACAAACTAAAGTAGAACAGGTTAACAACTGGAAATTAAGAAGTAGCAGTGTAGTCAGTCATATAACCAAAACAGGATTTGAGCAGAATAAAAATTGAGGAAAAATAGAAGAGCCAAGGGTTTAGAACACAGAATTAAAGCAAACAAAGCTGGGACAGTATTCCTGAACTTACTTAGAATTTTATCCCACCCAAACCAGTAACACAGTTCCCTAGTGAACCTCACCTATGGGGTAGACAGTCATGACATATCTTCTGCACATACCAGCAAGGAGAATGGTAAAAAACAGGAAATGCATGAAAACTACAATAATCTAGGCATGCATGGATTGATGTATTATCTATACTAAAAAAGTATGAATTTATTTTTCAACAAATAATCTTTAAAATGCTGACCAACTAAACTGTAAATGAAGAAAATCAGATCTTAGATAGCCCCTGTATTTCTTCAACCAAAATTGACTCTATCCTCAGAATACAACTAGGTTTAAGACAGGTGAGGAAGTGAGGAAGAAAGAAAATCAGAAGAGAAAGAAGTACACAAGGGCTGGTTTTTATATATGTGTGTATATATGTTTATTTGAAGTGGTTATCCTATTTCTCCCACGAACACATTTTCCAGTTTTTTCTCCATATACCCACCAGCTATACAACCTGAAAAACATATATTCATGTCAGAAATTCTGCTAAATGTATGCCATGGTGTTTATCTCCATTGTCTTTTCCCACCAGAATCAACAGCCATCATATAAAAGTGGCCTAATATTCCTTTAGAATTCCTTTAGAACATTCCTATGGCACTGCTATTTTTCCAACTTGTTACTAGAACTCTAACCCTTATCTTCTAAACTCCACAGGCACACAACCTAATCCCTTATCTTCTAAATTCCAAATGAAGAGTTCTGCCTCTTTCATGACCCTGGGCCTAGATTAAATTCAACAGTGTTACTTTGTGCATAGTATAAAAGTTTTCATAACTGAAAAATAACCCAGACATCTTTATGTTAAAATCTACGTTAACATACTGAAAATGTTTCTATTACTCTTACATAATAATAAGTATCAGGTTGCTTCGTATCATGGAGTCTTTAAACAGAGAAAGGGAATAATGTCACCCTCACCTTCCTGAAAGAGGGGGAAGAGCATCTGAAATTAAGTTTATAAAATAATTTATCATGGAGTTTTTGAACTTTTAGTAAATGCAGATTTATACAAATTTTTTTGCAATACTGAAATACTGTAGCCAAGTGAAATTCCAAGGCTATGGAGAAAGTTCCAAATATAACTTTCCAAAATTCTTTTTGACTAAAATTTGACAGTAAAGAAAACCATTTTTGCCTTCCTTTGTCTAACCATAACACCTTAAATAAGCATCATAAACTAGAAATGTTTAGCCAATTCATTCTACATAGAAACAGTACCTTGTCAATAATGAAATAGTTATATTTTCCTAAATATATCTAAACAATGGCTATCCTCCTACACACCTGGAACCCAAAATATGATTGTCAGACACTTACTTCAAGATTTCTTAAATGTGTCAGTGGGTAGAAGATGGCACCTCTTCAAGACAAACTTCCACTCAAGGTCCCTTGTTCACTTTTGTTCACTTTCCCTTGGTTTTTATTAATGTTCTAAGTTTCCTTGGCTCTGACTTTGTTCCTTCCTACCTTGACCTTCATCATATTCTCACTCTTTATAGAAACTCTGTTCTGCTTCCCATTAGAGCAAAGGAGACCCTTCTGTGTTTCTTCCTGACCCAGAGCTTCAACAAAGGGCTACTTATTCTAGATGTTCACAGTGGACAGCCTCGGTGTCAAGAAGGGTAAAAGGCTGTGGAGGTCTGGAATTTAAGAGGGGTCCAGGGAGTAGAAGAAAGCAAGCCTAAAGCAGACGTCCCTTTGGCTGTTCAAGTGGACAAAGAGGGGACTACATGCTTATGGACTCTTTCCAGGGCAGATCCTGGGAGAAAAGGAGTCCTGGTGCTAGTGAGAACGCTGGAGGTGATGTAGCCTCTCGTGACTTACTTCTTGGGAAGCCCATCAAACAAGTGGAACCTGGGCGCGTTTCGGATACCTCCCAGGTGAGGATGTGCGAAAATGCCCTTCGAAGCGGCGGTTGCTCCCAGACGCCCCATGTGCCCTGCGGTGCGAGGAGGCCCTGTGAAGACTCACCGTGCGGCTCGGGCTGGAGCCCCGCGGGAGGCGGCGGCTCTGGGTGCTGCAGCAGGGAGGCCGAGATGGAGGCGGAGGCCGACGTGATGAGGAGCCTCTGGAAGCGGTTGGGCGGGCGGCAGGGCACCTCCAGGCCTGCCGCCAGCTTGGCCTTGTTAGCGGTGGTGAGCCTCTTGAGGCGCACGAGCAGCTGCGGCTGGTCGCGGCGGAAGTGCGGGCTGTGGAAGTGGTGCAGCGGCCCGTCGCCCGCCGGTCCACCGCCCCTTGACCCCGGCCCGGGCCCCGCGGTGCCCGGCCCGCCTAGCACCACCTTGCGGAAGCCATAGAGGTTGAGCTGGCGGATGAAGCTAGTGAAGTTGGTGGTTTTGAAGAGTTCGGGCTCGGTCCCGGGGCCCGCGGGGCCCCCGGCGACCCCGACGCCGCCCGCAGCCGCCGGCCGGGGCGGACTGAGCAGCTCGGCCTCGAAGAGCGGCTGGTCAATGAGCAGCCCCTCGCCGCGGCTGTCCCAGCGGATCGAGCGGTACCGGGGGCTGTTCACCAACCGCCACAGCTTGGCAGGGAAGTTGTTGGGGTTAATAGGGGTGGAGAGCAGCGCCTCTTCCATGGTCCCCGCCGGCCCTGGGCTTAGCCCCGCAAACCCAGCTTTCCCACCCCGTTCTCGATCCCCACCTCCCCTGGCCTTCGCTGCGCCCTGCCCCCTCCTGCCAGCGCCCGGTCCGCGCGGGCCCGGAGACCGTTGGCGCACGACCTTCCGCCACAGCTTCCAACGCGGCCAATGGGGCCTCGAGTTCCCACCGCGCGGCTGGGCGCGCCGAAAGCCGGCCCACCCGACGCCGCGTCACCCGGGCCACGTGCAACAGCGGGGGACGCGGTGGAAGGCAGCCACCCTCCCTCCGAGTCCGCCGGGCGTCGGCGTGAAGTCCCGCAAGAAATGAGCCCAGGTTCACCCCTGGCGGAATCCTGAGATTTGTGTATTTCACCGCAGCCAGCCCTCAGGGATTTAGAATTCAGAAAGTGTGCATTTGGCAACACAAAGGCAGTCCTTGAGAACAAAGGACCTAACTTCTAAACCTGAGCACCAACAGTTGAATTGCTCATCTCTCCAAAAGAAGGTGGTGGTGATAGTAGAGGTCTCCAGTGAACAAATTCACCGTTTAGATGGTAGTATTTTGTATTTTTTAAAAATATACTCACTCCAGTACTTTGCTCAGGACAGTTTACTCAAGGTGGGATGAGAACTACGTACCTACGGGGGGCCCTCAGGAGAATGTAGGTACAGGCTTGTGTGCCTGATCAACCAGCTGGTGAAATTTTGGGCATTAAAGTGAAACCTCACGTGAGATGGGATAGGATTCTGTAATATCCTTAAGAATACATCCTTATCCTATCAATAAACAAGAATATAACAGGAGCTATGCTGATAAAAAGAGAGTCCATTAAAAAATGGAAATGTTTGGGAGGATGGGGGTATGTTTTAGCTCTTTCTCATGGTCAAAAAAAAAAAAATGAGTATTAAGTTTTCTTAGAAATTAAGACGAATAAAAAGACCCAACAAAGCAGCACTAATATAGAGATTTTATTTAAATTGTATTGAGTTTTTACAGCACATTGCATGTTTGTCACAACGCAACTGCACAGTTTGGGTTTTTGGCCACATCGTGTCACTTACACCCACAAGAGCTCTGAAAGGAGTATTTGATGAATATATCTGAGCCGAGAGCCCAGTCTCTCTCCCAGGCCATGCAGTATGTTCACTGATGGAACAGCTCCTCAAAACAGCTACACAAAGTAGACAGATAACAGTCTCCTTGAATGTTACCAATTTCCCCTAAAAGTGGGCAGCATGAAATGCAATGAAATTAAGAAGCCACTTAGAACTGGCACTAAGTTTTAATGATTGAGAAAATGCTTAGAAGAATTTTACATATCAGAGACAAGGAATAGCTTGTTACTTCTTCAATGATCTCAGGAATTTCCCAGACACAAAATCTCCCAGACACATTAAATGATAAAAAGTTCTGCTAGGTTGACCTAAATACCTCAAAACTTTTTAGGTTACATCATGGCACGTATAAAAAGCACAGATGCTTCTCTGTAGGACTAAAGAAAAGGTCAGGATGAATAAGAATTCTTGTTCTAAATGCACATCCTAGTTATTTCTGAATGAAAATTTTTTTTCCTGGAAGCAATATGAAAGTAGAGTTAGGCAGACAGCTATCAATTTTCAAACAGGATAAGCCTAAATATAATTTACCTTCTATACGTCAATGGATTAAGGAAAACGTATAAAGGAAATCCCAGTGGTTTCATTATAGGTCAAGGAGATTGTATCTGTCCCAACCACAGTACATGGCTTTATCACTGTATCTTTTGGTTAAGTGTCACTGGTACATATTTTAAGATGGAAAAAAAAAAAAACCCAACAAAAACAAAAAAAAACAACACTTGGTCCAAATGGACACATTTTCTCTCAATTTTGGTATCAAGGCTTTTTTCTCTTCTGTTTGGGTTCCATTATTAAGTGCACAGAAATAGACAGCAGCATTTGTACTGAAACCCTCACATACCAAACAGCATATTCTAGGAGGTAAAAACCAAACACTAAATTCTACCCTCAAGGTGTCAAGTGTTCAGGATAAGAAGCAGTGTGACCCAGAGGAGGGAGCAGCCAAGGGGAGGACAACATGAGGGAAGTGGGCGGTGGAACAACAAAAATAAACATTACTTTATTTTCATGCCAGGAGAGGATCAAGGTGTAGCTCCTGTGTTAGCACCAGGACAACTAGGAAGTCAGGCGCAAAGGGGAGGGCACAATCAGCAAATATTTCACAAGGATAATTTCTGCATTTCCCTTCTCATTCTTCACAGTGCATACCTCAAAAGCTGCCATTGAGTAATAGAGACTATTGCCTTCACAGCTCAAAAAACTGATTTTTGCCAGGACTGAACATCAACAGAATTTTCTTCTGCTCCCCAAAATGTCTCACTCCTTAGAACTGTCCCCCTAAACTGAATATTCACTGATGCTGGCCCATGAGCCAAGTGAAAAATACAGCAAAAGCTCCACTTGCTGAACCAGTCTTTCAACCAAACTCCACAGAAAGACAGAACTAATGTAACTAGAGGAAGTGCCTCTAAAGACTGAGCCTTCATGCACAGACACAGAGCACAGGGGTACAGGGTACAGTTCACTTCAAATTGGGTAAGAATTCCTATCTTATATACTTTTTCAAAATGAAGGAGCAATGAGTCTGGTTATCCCTTGGAGTTTGGTTATACATATATGCCTTTCTATTGCTGTCTGGGGCACGCATCATCAGGCAGGATCTATGAAATTATCGTCTTGTGACCCCCAGGGAAAGAAGCCAGAGTCACCAACTCAACATTAAGCTTCCAGACTCTGGGTCTGGATTGGGACCATACCCCCAAGGTGAGAGTCTCCCAGGTAGAGGACCTCCTGCCAAACTGCTCCAGTCTCATGGTACCAAGGAAGATTTCTCAAGACAGTATCTTTGAGCTCTGCAATTTTGTGAGCCACACCAAGGAACCTTCAAAATTAAACCCGGAGCAGATCCTCCCTTCAAACCTACTACAACTGGACAGGTCATCTCTGGCATTCAACTGGAAGCAGTAGCAATGGGTTTCTTCAGATGCTGGCTCATGAGTTCTCTGGCACGAGATACTTGGATATGTTCATAACATGAGTTACAGACGAGAACTGGGTCATAGAGTTGTTGATCAGGAATGGGCAACTTCAGGTAGCAGCAGGCAGCACAAAACACATTCCCACAATTTCTGCCAAAGCACAAAGATGAAAGAGTTCATCAAGAATGCCAATATACTGAGAAAGGATGATACTCTAACGGGTCTTCCATGAGTAATTAAAGGGAAAAGTTGGGAGAAAACAAAAGTAGTATGTCTCCACTGTCATATTAACTCAATTTAGTTCATGAATCTGTACCTCCTGCTTTATAAGCCATACCAAATTATATAAAGCATCTTACCTGCAATGGTGTCTCCGTTTGGCCAACCAGAACTCACAGTCACAGTTATAGCAATGTGACGCCATATGATCTGGAACCCACCGGGTCACCTAACAGAAGGCACAAGGGAAGATTCCAGGTCCTTGTCAATGAGGTGGAAGGGCAATATTGCAATGACAAAAGCATCCCAGGAGAAAATGACTGTTGTTACAGTTGGCCACTACTTGCCTAAAAAGAAGACACTCATCTGGGGGAGCTGATCCTACAGCACATCACTCATCTCTGAGAAACATGAGAACTCACTGGCTCACCTAAGTAGCCACCACATATTTGCCTGTCTCTTTGTCACCTAAAGACACATACCTCTGTCTCTTTCTTCTCAACAGGTTCCCAGCTTGCTTCTGAAAGGCAGTCTTCACTGTGATCAGAGCCAAAATCTTCTGTATCACTATCATCTGACTCTTTCAAACATGTCTGAAGGGAAGGTAAAGGCATTACAACATCATCTTCATCATCGTTAACATCTATTATCAGCAGGCACTGCTCAGAATGTGTTACATGCAGGAACTTTAGTTCTTTACAACAATCTTATGATATATACGATTATTACCCCCACTTTAAAAATAAGGAAACTAAGCCACTGAGAAAGTTAAGAGCTACTAAGTAGTAAATCTGGGATTTGAACCTACTATTCCGGCTTCAGACTGATGCTCCTAACCAATGTGCTATATCAGAGTGTAAAGAATAGTTCTCTTGTTACATTTTTAACTAAGGCTTCACAAACTATGGCCCAAAGGCCAAATCTAGCCCACTGCCTGTTTCTGTAAGTCAGGCTTTATTGGAAGACAGTCACACTCATTTATTCACATATTGTCTATGGCTGCATTTGCACTCTAACAGCAGAGCTGGGTAGCTGTAACATAGACTGCATGTCCCACAAAACCTGAAGTATTTACCATCTGGCCCTTAACTCCTCTTTTAAATCATCACCTTAATAATAAGAAATTGTTAGCCTGCCCATCCCAACCCAAGAAGTGGGCAGCAGGCAAGTGGGAGTGTCTTAACAGGAGGAAGGGAAGTGCCTGAGTATATTACAGGGTATTATGGGCAAGAAGCTGACACCTAGAAACTCCCCAATGACTGCTGTACCACACACAGCGAAGTCTATGTGGTCCTCACCATCTCTCACTTGGATTTCCCAAACATCCTAACCAGCCTCCTCAACTGGGTTTCAACTGCCTTATCCACTTAACATACTATTGCTTGAGCAGTATTCTTAAAACACAAATCTGATCATGTTATTCACCAGCCAAAAACTTTACTGCCCTGTGGTAAGTATCCATACAAGGAGGGAACTCAAGCTGACCTTTCCAATCCCTGTCTACTTCTGCAATATCACCTCTTACCACATTACCCAACTCCCCGCCTCATGGTCCCAGCACAAGTGTGCAGGACAGGCCTTTGTCCTACCCCTTTGTTTAAGACATCACCTCAAGAGTACCTATTGCCTCCATGCTTCTACAAATGGTATTTTCTTTTCACTGCCTACCTAAATATGACACATTCTTCAGCACTCAACTTTCTCATTAGCTTCTCACCTTCACTGTGATCAGTGACCTTTCCCTGACCTTTCACTCCACACACACCCCAACACCCGAGGCTTCCCTCAATCACTAGACATAAGAACATCCCAGTAGACTGTGAGCAACCTGAGAACAGGGACTGTTTTTCATCCTACAGCTAAGCCACCTAACATAGCAAGTACACAATGAATCAACATTGAATGGATGGAAGGCTGGATGGATAGAATAAATGAATGGGTGGATGGCAGTAGGCGAATACTTACAAAATCATCCTCATAGTCCACGGGGGGCTCTGCTGGAGGCGCACAGCAGTGACGGATATCCAGCCTCATTTGAAGCTCACGCACCTGTCGACGTAGCTGTTCCACTTCTTGCTTGTACCCTGCTTCAATTTGCCGTAATCTGTGCTGGATCACATCCGTGGGAAAGGGGAGTCCATCATCATCCAGGTAAAGAGGAGGCACTGGAGAAGGACAGCTCAATGGAACAGACTTTATGCTGGAGACCTGCTTTCGGTGACCAGGCCACCACAGCTGGTTCTTTTTTCCTCCTGGACCAGTACAGTGACCGTTGGAATGACTAGAACAGACTGGTGACTTCACTCCTTCTCTCTGAGCCCATTGGCCCCCAAAGCAGGGCCCTGTTGCCCGCATCTGCTTAATGCTTGACCTCTTGCTACAACAGCCATAGGAGAGCAGCCGCCGTGGAATAGTCTCCCCACTTGGGAATGAAGTCACCATCCCATGGAAGCTGTCCCAGTTGGACCCTAGAAAAGAGAACTCACTGATCTGGCTCTGAGAAATTGGCTTTCGGGCCAATTCCAATGGCACTTTCCCAAAGCAAGGATTTTCTAATAACTGCCTGTTCCTAGTATTCCCTCTTTTGCCAGTGTCTTCCTCACCAAGAATCAGATCTGGCACAGAACTGGGCTGCTCCTTGTGGTAGATACTTCCCACAGACCTTGGGGGATCTTGACTAAAGAAATCAGTGCTTGGGTCTGGAGGAGTTTGGCAAGTAGCACTCGGTAGGTTGCAAAGGGTTCCCAGAATGTGATCCGGGGCACATCTGGAGGGCACACCAAGCACAGAGTCTAGCTGGGTCCATTGTGGGGTGCCCGTAAGGAAGTCCTGGGAAGACTCAGGAAAACCACAAATTCGGTCACACTTGTTGGAAATGACTTTAGAAAGTGCACTGACAGCTTCTTTTTCAGGAGAATGTCCAGGTTGCTCCTCTGTGCCACCTAAAGTCCTACCCAGATCATCCTGGGCAGAAGGGTCTGGAGCTGGTGCCTTAGTCTCTTCCAGGACTTTGATCTCAGGCTCAGGGGTGTTGCTCTTCATTTCCTGGGGCACTGTGGTATTCAGCAGTTTGTAACTTGGAGAAGAGCTTTTATGACTCTTGAAAGGTTTATTGCTTAAGGAGTCTTTCTGGCTGCTGGGCAGAGGGACTGGAAGACCCATTTCTCCTACAATCTGCTGAGGCCCTCCTATCCCAGAGTCCACAAAGGTTGCCTCTGATCCCTCGGGATTGCTGTGCCTGTGCTCCAGGCCTACTCTGGCCTCCTGACAGTGGTTATTCAGGTTAGGATCACTGGATGTGCGAATCAAGGGGCTGCTTGTATCACAGGCAGAAAGAAGATCATCCATAGATCTGGTTTTAGGTAATCTGGAGTGACAAACACAACACCTCCAGGTCAGGAAATGGCAGCCACCTCCAATATATATACAATCAGGTTATCAAAGCTTGAGTTCACAAGAAATAACAACATGTAAGATTACAAATAACCAATGTTCACTGCAGCAAATCTATTCTGCAAAAAGCATAGGACTTGAACCCTGTCCTCGAGAACACAGGATCTGTCCTCAGCTCTCATCAGTCCCCACCCTACACAATCTCCCTGGGCAATCTCAAACACTCCCATGTTTCAACTGCCTTCTCTGTTGATATCATCTGAATCTTCTATGCTGACAAGGACCACATCTGAGCCTCAGACCTAATGTCCACCTCTATCACACACAGTAAGACAGAAGGAAGACGGGTTTTGGAGTTGGACAGCACTGGCTCTGACACTGATTAGCCATATGACTACGAGTAAGTTATTTAACCTTTCAGATGCTTGGTTTCCTCCTCTATAAAATGATAATAAATCATACCTTGTAGAACTGCTATGAGGATTCAAAATATAGGCAACCAAACACAAACTTTTAAAATGACTACACAAACAACTCCTTATTTTTACAACTTATAAATTATTCCTCCTTCACAGTAGTAACTAATGCACTGTTTGTGCCCACTTAGCAGCAGCGTGCTCCTCTGAGTCCCAGGTCACCACGGGAACTTCCCGTAGTACACAGCCCTCACAAAGCTTTACAGGAAATTCATGCACACCAAATGGGTACATGTTCAAGAATGGCCACCCTGAGTTTTAACACAGTTCAAGTCCTTAGAGCAAGGAAAACTCCCAAGAAGTTTGCCAGGAAACAGTGAAGACTTACCTGGACGCCTGTCTTCAGAGACTCAGGTCAGCCTGTGCAGAAAAATCCCCCAAAGGTAGAGTTACAATATAACTGAGTTTTTAAAGTGTTGTTTGGTTTTTGAAACTTACATATTTTTAGAGTAGTTTTGTGATCAATTTTGATCTTTTTCCCTTTGGTATGAAATTCCAGGAAAGCACTAGCAATGGTTATGATTACAGTCTCTAGAGTCCCATAGCCAGGGCTCAAATCCCAGCCTGGCAAACATTTAGCTAGGTGACCTTAACTTCACTAAGTTTCAGATCCCTCCTCTATGAGAGAAACATACCTCTGAACAGCCTTCATGAAGATGAAACAAAATAACCCACATCAAAGCACTCTGCTCAGCACTATCCTGCATCACAGCACCTACTGTTCTCTTACTATCTCCCGCTGCTTAAGTGCCTTGAGAGCAGTACTGCGTGTTACTTGAATCACCAGCTGAGGGCCAAACAATTTGAGGAATGAAAGAATGAGCTTAAAATTTAATAAGTTTCTACTGCTTCCTACCAACTGAATGAAATGGATGAGTGAGGTTCAATACTGAGTGTACATCAGGAACTCCTGTGGATCTTCTAGATACGAAGACAACGAGGACCCATTCAAGACCTCCTGACTGAGAATGGCAAGAGTGAGACCCAGGAGTTTTAAAAAGTACCACAGGCACCTTTATTTTTTTTTCCTTTCTTTTTGTTCTACTTTTTATTATGGGAACTTTCAAACATGTAAGAGTAGAGAGAAAACTATGAAGATCCCCCATGTACTCTTCACCCAGATTTAACAATATCAAGAGTCTGCCATCCTCCACAGCTCATTCCCATGTACACCAAAGGTTTAACCAATGATGCTGGTAGGCTCAATAATGTCTGGGGAGTTCACAGCAAAGAGGGAACTCATCCAGCGTGGGTGAGCAGGGAAGGTGACACAGAGAGGGAAGGATCTGAGCTCAGAATAGAAGAATGTGTTGGGTTTTAATGGAAGAAGTGGAATGCAGGTAGGATATTTTTAATCTAGGGAAAGGTAGAGTAAGTCAGGTCAGCTGTTAAAAAAAAATTTCCTTTCAAACTTTTATACTACTTATTTCTCCATATATCCAACTCTTCATCTTGAACTGACTACAACACTCTCTCAACTAATCCGGACCTGCCTGTATCTCTTCTCTCCCCATACTGACTCGCCTTCTTAACTTCTCAATGTCTAGAGAGGGTACTAATAGCCTCCTGGTTTCTAACCCCAGACTTGGGACCTGCCATTGGTCCTCTTTAACTCATCACTTCTACAGTCCAATCAGTCAACTCCACAGCCTGCTAATGACTTCTCCACAACATCTCCGAATTTGATCTTTTTTCTTTTCTAAGGACTCCTTCCCTCATATGTAAATTATGACAGGGCTTCCTCGTCTCTGTGCCTACAAATACTCTGCTCACTGCTTAGTTCTCGCCTGACAAAATCCCACTCTCACCAGGTCACAGTGACTTCCTAACAATGACTTACAACTGAGTCAACATAAACTCCTCAGTGTAATGTTTACAGCCCTCAATGAATTTCTTTCTATTTCTCAGACTAGCCCCTTTCCAGGTCCTGCCAGATCCAAACAGTTTCCTCTGTTTCTTTTTTTAACTATCACGTATCCAATTCCTTTGGATCACTCTCTACGAACCTAGTTACCAAACTCACAACTCCATTTATTTTATTCATTTGTTCATTCATTTAAGCATTTATTAATAAAGTATTTATTAAAATGCCAGGCCCTAAGCGAGATACTAGGGACACAAAAAAGCCAAGGTTCCTGCCAGATCTTCCAAGAAAACATTTCTGAGTAAACTAAATGACCCCTTTCTTATTTCTTATTTCTCCAACAGTTTTGAACTACACACATTCTTATTTACTTAGATGCTGACTTAGAATTGTTCTCCAGTTGTCCTATGTCTTACTTTACAGCTTTTAAAAAACATCTTAGATAGGATCAGTATCTTCTTCGGTATACTCCATAGAACCTAGTACAGTACTAGGCAACTTGTAGGTATTAAAGAAATATTTATCAAAGTGTAAACTTAGATATTGACTTAAGGCAATGGTTATTAAATGAGTCACAGAACTTACTGAGAATTTGATAAGTTATGGCCCATCTCCCTGGAAAAGTAAGCTTACATATAAACTTACACCCAAATTCTGCACAGTATGGGGAAGGAGAAAAAAATCACAGAATTCCTGAAGTCTATCCATGGGCCCTTAACCATGGACTCACTCCCAAGATCCTAAAACCAATAATTTGGGGGAAGGGGTTTTTTTCTTTATAATATCCAACCACTCATGTAAATTATTTGAACTTTAAAAATCTTCTACCAAAACACAAAGATCAAAATTTGAAATGTATGTATCCTTTGAACCCAGGATTTTCATTTCTAGGAATTTATCTGGCGGAAATACTAGCGTAAATCCAGTACAAAGGTAATACTACTGAACTATACACTTAGAAATGGTTTGGATGTTAAATATTATGTGTATTTTACCACAATTTCTGAAAAAGGCATACACATATAAGGATGTTAGCTGAAGTATTCCCTGTAATGATTAAAAAAACAATAGCAATCACTTAAATGACCAATAGGAAACTGGTTATATAAATTATGATACACTCTAATTTTAGACTATTATGCAGTCACTAAAACAATAAAGCAGCTTCATATATGCTGTCATGCAGTGACAATCTAGTAAAAAGTGCTTTGCAGAAGAGTATGCAGAATGTGATTGTTTTTGTATTTAAAAAAATTTTCCATATGACAAGGTGGATGTATCTATGTAGAGATCAACATCTGGGAGGACATGCACCAAAGTGTTAGCAGCTGACACCTGTGGGGACAAGGATCAGGGAGGGAGGACCTTCATTTTCTACTTTTATATTATTGGACTTTTGAAAGTAGGAAACATATATTACTCTTATAATTTAACTAACCTCCATTCTACTTCATCCCGAATGTTCAGCCAGAAGATAACTAATTTTTACTTCTCCCTTTGAATTCTGGCCTTTTTCTGAGGGAGTAATGTCAAGGCCATTCCCCTTCTGGGAGCCCACCTCCCTGAGAGATGCTTCGGAAGCCAATGCTGAACATACTGAACAAGTAAAGGTTACTACTAAGATAGCAAGTGCCCAATGCCTCTATCAGTAAGCATAAATCAAGATCATTCCCACAAACTCTCTTAAAATAGTCCTTCCTGTTCTGTTCTCCTCTCCCCTGCTTGCTCTGTCACACTGGGGGATAACAGCTCCAGGAATGAAGGTAACAAAGCTTATCTTAAGGGAGGACCTTGAAAACACAGAGTGCACACCAGGCTAGTTCTAAGCCTGGGCCAAGAATCTCAACCGACTCAAGAAGTTGCTTTTAAGTATCTCATAAAAGAGAACAGCATTTAAGAAAGACATGAAGCAGCAATTGCCTTCCTAGTGGAGAGAGGAGAGAGGAAAGAGCAAGAAGGACTCCTCTTACCTGTCCAGGGAGCGGCCAGAGAACTCCTGACTCTGAGCCACTGGGGAAAGGTAAAGATCCACACTCTCCTCGCCAAGTGTGCATGGAGACGATGCTGGCAAGTACACAGCTGTCCAGAGGTACAGGGCCCGGACATGACACACAGGATGCAAGACCTGAGGAAACAGCACCATGCTAGGGTTTTGGGAGATGTTCCAGGTCCCTCTTCTTTCCGCCAGCCTTTGGCCCTATGTTTGCTGCACGGACTTGGCCTAGTCTCCCAGGAACACCTACAGGACAAAGGTTTGGACTTACCACGTCTGAGCCCGGTGTGTAAAGGAAGTTGTGGAAGTTCTTATTGCCAGCTCGCAGGAGAGCCCACACAGAGCAGGTCCGCTTATAGATGTTGCGTTTCTCCCGCTCACAGGGGTTGTTGGCCAGGAATGTGCCATAGAGGCAGGAGTACGTGTGCTGCACCAGTTTTACCTGGAGGGCCAAGACAGCTTGCACCTGGGGTTCTCCCCCTGCAGCACCCACCTCAGCCCCAGGCTTTAGGACTTACCAGGAATGCTTCGTTAAACTCAAACTGGCAGGGGAACTGCTTGAGCAACTGATGAACAGAATCAAGCCACTGGAGGAACACAGGACACTGCTCGTTTTGGTCCTCTGCATTTTCCTGGTGACCACAGCGATCTCCAAACTTGTGCCCAAAATCCAGCCAGTCAGACTCTACTAATACTTGGAAGCCCTAAAAGGAAGAGAGTCTAAGCACAGGGCCTCTCCGGAAAGGCTAGTATGCCACTCCCAAGGGGATGCCCAAAGCAAGAAGCTGGCAGCTTTGGAGGACAGGACTGATCCTGAAAGGACTGATCCTGAAGAGTACTCAAAGTTACCAATGTCCTCTACTGAAAGACCCCCAAAACAGACCCATAAGGCCTAACACCTTCACCATGCCCCTTTCCCTTTCCTCCTTCCCCCCCAACTGCTCTCAATACCTCCAGTGTCCTGTAATATGGGTCCAGAAGTATTTTGGCCAGGGCAACAATCTGTGGCGTCCGGTCCCAGCCGTCTGAGCAGTGCACCAGCACAGGCCGGCCTTCCCGGTCTACTGTGTTAGCCACAAGCACAGCTGCCTTCAGCATCACCGACAAGTGCTGCAGCCATTTGGTACTCTCCAGTGCTGACAACCAGCTACATGGGGGCAGAAATGCACTCAGTTACTAATGGCACCGAGGTGACAACCTGAGTCTCTCCACCACCACGGCCAGCCTCACCTAACGAAGGCCCAAGTGAGGAGGGCTGAAGCCAAGAGGGCCAGCACCTGGCCTTTCTGCCAAGAAACACCCAGCAGAAAGACAGGGAAGATGAGCATTGAGGTAGCCAGGAGAGAGGAAAGAACACATTGCGTTCTTTGAGCAGGACAACTGATCCACACAAATGGAACCCAATGTCCCGCAGCTGTGCTGAAGTGCTGGCTGAGGCGAAGTACTACTTGCAATGGCCACTTGCACCCAAGCCCTCAGGTCTCATCCTCTTCCCATCTCCCCACCAAATCCTCCAAGAGCAAGGAGTACTGGTAAGGGATGAGACGAGGGAAGATGGAACCAGAGATGGAACACTTACTTGCTGGGATCAGGCATCTGGCTGCACACAGCCCGGAGGTACTGGAAGCTATTCCGGATGGCATGGATGTTGGCCATTCCCATGAACACAACCTCACAGTTGGGGTAGTACTCTGTAGATGCAAAAGAGGAGAGTGGAGCCTAAGAGCATGTCCTGGAAACAGGGACAAGAGTGGTCCTAGTTGGCACAGCTTCCCTGGCAGGGCAGAACCCTCCAAGATGAGAACCAAATATACTCTGGATATCGAGATCACCCTTTTACTTCTGGATGCTCAGGTGCCATATATTAGTAGTAGTAATATTAATGATAAATGATAGTTGTAGTACTACTGGTAATAACAATATATAGTATATTTTCAACACAGTATTTGCTCTGTGCTAATAATTTTGTAATACATAACCTCTACTCATCCCAACAAATCTGCAAGGCATGTGTCATCCCCATTTTACAGATAAGAAAATAAAATCAGACAGACTAAGCAACTTAATCACAGTCATAGCAAGTAAGTGAAAGTGACAGCATCCTGATTCCAAGCCAGGTTTGTCTGGCTCTCCCCACCACCCAAGCTGCCCCCGCCCTCTCTTCACCAAAGCCACCCGGGCAGACTGGCTGGACACTGGGATGACAGCAGTACCTTCACATTCACATCCTCCACCCTTGGCCCGGTTAGCTACTGCCGCCGTGTAGGACCGAGCATCCAGGATCAGCAGCTTCTGAGGGGCCGCTGCACTCTCCACTCCGGAGCATGCAGTCAAGGAGGAGTCTGGGTATGCAGCAGGGAGGAGACCCTGGGTCAGCCAGCTGCCCAGCCTCACCCTACCTTGAAGCATACCCTTTCACAAGAGAAGACCACGTAGAGACACCCTCAGACACCACAGTCTCCCAAAAGGCAGGGACCCAGGCAACCTGTGTGTTGTCATCTGTTTCCCATCCTTTTACTGGGGGCTCCCTGGAAGCCAATGAGGCCAAGGAGGGGGCCTGCTCCCCAGTGGGCCAGCACTGCCCACACCTTACCAAAGTCAGTGTCACATGCCTCGCTGGCATCACTATTCCCGGTGCCGAGGGAGCCTCCAGTGGCCCTTGTCCCCGGATCCAAGGCACAAGCTTTAGCAATGGACGTGACCAGGTACTCATCATCAGCATTGCGCCAGCCCCACCAGCTGATCTCAGGCTGGCTGCAGCGGGCGATGGCAGCCCCATTGCGTAGGTGCCTGGCAAAACAGAAGGAGCCATCACGCCCTTGGCATTCCCAACCCCCAGTGGCCTACTACCAAGACGCCAGGGGACCAGACCAAGATCTTCAGAGCCAACAGGGCTACCAGTTCACCCAGGCCATGATTATAGCAACCAAAAACCCTTAACACATCTGGAGGGCTTTACAATTTACAAAGGCCTGTCACATACATTTCTCAACTAGGCTCAGTGTTTCCAAGGTGACCTTGTTCATTACCTTGCACAGCACCTGATCCAGGTAAAGACACCCAGCAGGATAAGCCTGAGCCCAGAGCTTGAACAACTCCATACCTCATGGCTACCTGTCTGACCCTGTCCTACCCACCACGTTCTAGTTCAGGGTCAGCAAACTTTCTTGGTAAGAACCAGACAATAAATACTGTTTTGTGTGTCACAGCCAGTTTGTCAAACATTTTTCTGTTTTTTTTTTTTCACCGTTGTTAAAGAACTCTTAAAAAACGTAAAAACCATGCATTGCTCACAAGCCATGTATTTGCTTCGCAGACAAGTTTACCAAGTCCTGTTCCAACGCAAAATTTTACCCATACACATTCACACACATACAGACCAACCCTCAAAAAAAAAAAAAAAAAAAGGGCAAAGTGAATATACTCTCCAAAAGCCTCATCTTTAGGAGAAAAAAACTGAAGCAGTTTTTGTTTCATGATTATTTCATTCATTGCAGGGTGCCAACTCCCAGCTAACTTCCACTTCTGACTCTTTCTATGGCATAATACAAGTCCTTCCTACTTCTGGTTCTCACTGCCTACCTGTACACAACCACAGGGATCCGCTTCCAGGAGCGGAAGGAAGCCACGTTCTCCAGCTCTTTATCTGTGATCCACACAGGAACCAACAGCTTCTGGGGGTAACTGGGGCACAATCTGAGAAGAGGCCAGACGGAGTTACCAAGCTTGATCTAAGACATGTGACAACAGGGTCCCCAGGGATGGCTTTGTGGGAAAAGGGACCAGCTCCCCCCCCCTCACAGAGTCAGAAGCTATGCCCACACGGTGCTTTAGCCATACATGGAGGTCTGAGTATGGATTGGTCTTTTGAGTCCCACCCACTGCGCCCTCTCACTTATAGTTGCTGTTGATCTGTGAGACTCTCCAGACGTTCTGCAGGTCAAAGCCCATCCTTGTGAGCTCGGCCTCCTGCCGACATCGTATATGCTCTCCTGCAACATAGCCCCCACGCCTGTCAGCATCCAACAGCACAAAGGCCAGGGGAAGAGGAGGGATGAGAACTAAGAGATGAGAAGTCTCCCAAAGAAAACAGTCTGGCCTCACCTGGCTGACACAGGTGGGTGTGCTGGTCCTCCTCCATCAGCCCCAGGCACCAAGCGTGGTAGGCAAAGGCAAAGAGGTCCTCAGGCTTGGCAGGTCTTGCTGTGGCCCGGCTTAGCCGCAAAAGCCACTCTTGGCACTGCTTGAAAGTGGAGAAGTGGCATCTGCCAGGCAAGAAGCCACAGAGTAAGACAAGAGGCAGGTGTACACTGGGGCCATATTAGTCAAAAACATGGTCACAGGAAGGCTACAGAGAGAAGAAACTGCAAAGCAGGAGGTAAGGCAAGGGAACCTTGGGGAGGACCAAAGACACTGGCCAACACCCAAGAGAAATTGTCTGTGACAATTCTCTTCTCAAGATCTTTTGTCCTGGATATATACTTGTTCCCTCTAATGGGGCCCTGACATTTCTCATATCAAATCTAAATTCTACTACATGGCAGTGAATGTCCGCTACTCCTTCTATTATCTCCCATGACTCCTTAACACACATTGTCTGCTAGGCAGAAGTCCTGCTGATATCATTACTGTCTGTTTTTCACTTTTACTTGATAATGTCTCCTCTTGGAGACTAGCAACATCCTACTAACACTCTGAAGGCAGTTCCAGTCCCACCTCTTCCTCAAAGCCTTTGCAGCCTACTCTATTCCGCAGATCCCCTCCTCTTTGAAGTGCTTGGAGTATTAAATAGGAAGTTTTTCTATTGCATACTGCCACATGCTCCTTCAGCATCTAGAGTTTAACCTCTTTGAAGGGAAGGGCACCATCCTACAGACCTGAGCACAGGACAGGCTCTCAACTGTGTAGTCTTTCAATATCCTTGGAGTCATTCCAGACTTCTTTCTCTCAAATCCAATCTGTCAGCAAGTTCTGTCAACTCTGTCTTCAAAAACCTAACTACTTCTCACCATTTTAACTGCTACCACTCTGCACAGGCCACCATGATCTTTCACCTGCGTAACTGCAATAGCTTCTAACTCATCTCTCAGCTTCTCTCCCCACTGCTTTTCATCTATTCTCAATATAGCAGTCAGAGTGATTCTATAAAACATTAACCAGATCATGTCATTCCTTTGCTCAAAACTCTTCAGTGGTTTCTGATTTCCCTCAAAGTTAAAAGCCAGTCATGATGACAGCCTGACACCCTGCTCACCTCTCAGATCTTATGTCCCACTTCCCACACCCACAAGCACTCCACTCCAAACACACAGGTCTCCTTGCCATTATTCCAATATGCCAGGTACATGCCCTCCTCGAGGCCTTTGCCCTCATACTTCACTAGCACTCTTCCCCCAGATGCCCACATGGTTATTTTCTTCGGGTCTTGACTCAGATGTCACCTTTTCAGTGCAGTCGTTTTTGATCACTTTGTTTAAAGCTACATCTGTCATCACCATAGCACACCACATCCCCTTTCCAAGCTTCATTTTTTACTGTTACACTACCATCATTTAACATATTTTACTGATTATATACTGCTGGTATCTCCCCACTGGAATATAAGCTCCAAGAGGGCAGAAAACTTTGTCTCTTAGTTCCCTGCCATATCCTCAGTGCTTAGGACAATCTGGCATAGAGTAGGATGCACAATAAATGCACATTAAATGAATAAATAAACGAACCAACAATGTGAATGCTGTGGGCCAGATATCCTAGGTGCTTTCACACACATTATCTCACTTAACCCTTACAATGACCTAATGAGCTAAGTATTATCCCCATTTCTTCAGGTCAAGATACTGTGGTCAAAAAAGTAACCTCCAACCCAGACAGGGTTTTCACCTTTTCTTCCAAATGGGAGAAGTGAGGCAGTATTTTTCCTTTCTTGCTCCAGAACAATCCTGCAGCAGACAGGTCTGGGCACACTAGGGCCAGAGGGCCTGAGTGAGGCCCTAATATTCTCACCTCACCACTTTGGAGTCCTTGCAGGCAATGTGCAACTGGAACATATCACGGCTTTCCACACTGTCAATCATCCGGAGGGGGACCTTTAGAGGAAAAGCAAACTGAAGCTCAGATCCCCACTCTCCACACCACTCATCCTCACCCCAGCCCAGACACTAATGTAGCAACAGAAAAAAGGAAACTGACATTCACTTTGGGTCTGTTCAGAGTCTGGTAATTGTGCTGGGTCCTCCACATATGTGATCCCAATTAGTAGTCACAAGAACCCTGCAAGGCAGGTGTTTTCACACCATATTGTTAAAGAAGAAATTAAGCTTCAGGTGGGTGACTTGGCCAAGGTCACACAGTCGGTAAGTGGCACTCTCCCAACAATGCCACTGTGCCCCTTACAAGGGCCTGCAGCAGAGAAAGGGAAAGAGAGAAAAGGGGAAGGGAGAATATAGGAAGGAGACAGAAAGACCTACAGCTGAGAGAGGGAGGCAGGAAAACAAAAGATGAGAAAAAGAAAGGAACCCCAACTTTTTTGAAATATGACCAAGGAGAGCATTAGAGAAATCCCACCTTGAACCTCACAGGGTTCTGGCTTGGGTCTGGAAAAACAAGACAGGAACTCACATTGATGACAGAATCCTTGAACTTGATATGCAGCCGGTAGTTGGAGATGGCAATGAGGGCATCGGCTGCCCGGCCCAAGAACTCTACCCCCTCACCCTGCAGCACTGTGAAGGGCACCTGCCACAGGGCAAAGAAACCTTCAGTCTAGAAGTTAAGTCACCCTTCCATCCCCCTCCAACTCCTGATCTGTGGGATCCCCTCTGGAGAAGCTGGGTCAGGGAAGACAGAAGAATCCTCTCCACAGAAACAGTACCAGGCAACAGCTGTAGAGAAAAGCTGCCTTTCCTTCCCTGGGGCCAGTGGCTCCATAATGCAGACAGACAGACTCCCCTCCCTCCAGAGACCAAGTAGCAGGAAGCCAGAGCTCCCATACTAGATCTCCTTGGAGATATTTTTTGAGAGGTAGGGAAGATAGAGTGTTTTTAACCCAGCAGGAAGCACCACCCACCCTGGACTCCCAACTCCTCCTTACCTGCAGATTCTCTTCCTCTTTCACTAGTTCCTTGGGGGGGAACAGATCCTTGGCTTGGATGTACTCCAGGCTGGGGGGCCCCTCCTCACCCTGTGGGAAAGGCCTCAGCCCTAAGTCACCAGGCTCCACATGGCCCATTAGGCCTCATTTTGCCCCCTCCCCTCGATAAGCCCCCACACATCCCATATCCACTTACAAAGGTTCTGGTCACCAGCAGAAGGAAAAGGGATCTGGCTTGGTGGGAAGAGTGAAATAGAGGGGGTGCTCAGCCCAATTAAGCCTAAGGGAAGAGTAAAAGGCCAAAGGGGAACTGAGACTCTCTTGTAGAACCAAAATTTTCCAAATGGAGGAGGAGAGAGAACTCAGGAAAAGACTAATGTAATGACAAAACAGAAGTGAAAGTGGAAGTGCTGCCATGAGGACAGGGAACCAGGTGTGGCAGCTGGTTACTGGGACAGGAGGGAAAGCAGGCACCTAAGGCCACCGAAGCGAAGCTTCGATCTGGTTGGTGAGGAGACAAAGAAGACTGGCTTGGGGGATTCAGTCCCAAGCCTCTAGAGGGCCTTCATGGATGCTCTCAAAAGAAGGATGTGTTTTGGAGCTGAGTTTATCTTACAGTGAGACCCACACTGCTAGTGAGCGCCCACCACCTGCCAAGCAACCTGTCCTGCCTGCTGATCTGAGGGGAATTCCTGAGGAGTACCCAAAGCAAACAGAAGTAACTCCCCTCCCAGCCATCAGGGAGAGAGAAGAGGGGATCCACATGCCTGGGAGGAACCAGCAGAGCCAAGGACAGATAGGGGAGGAGGAGGCCTGGCAGACACCCACGGGGGGTGAAGAGGGGAGGGGTGGGAACATCTGAGAGGACAGATGGGGGAAGCTGGGAAGGAGCATTAAGCCAGAGGGGGGAGGAGGGAGGGCTGGAATGATGCAGAGGCACGGAGCCCTGCAGAGGCAGGAAGATGGAGAAGAGAGGCTGTCTGGGGGACAGTCAAGGAGAAGGACTGGCATGGCAGGTGAGGAATGGAGTGGTGGAAGGGAAAGGGGACTGGAGCCAGGGAGACTGTTCAGACAACCTGTGCCCCCCGACCAGCCCCCTAACATCCCAGAGGGCCTTCTAGCTACATCTCACATCCCCAGGCAAGGACGCAGCGGGTGGGACCAAGATGGAGAGAAGGTAAAGAGATGTACTCCTGCAGGGCGGGGCCTGGAGATCTGCAATCAAGAGCAGTGGCTGCGAAGCCAGGATGGGTCACAGAATTTCCATTCCGGGCTTCGACAATCCCCGGCACCCCAAGATTAAAGTAAATCCAAGGAAGAAGAGGGATAACCCTAAGGGGGATGGGCTGAAATCGTAATCTCAAGGGCTGGCCCTGGGCGGGGCTGCGAGTGCAGCAAGCGATGGGGCATCCGGACCCCCGGGGGCCGGCACTTACGAAGCAGCTGAGCATAGAGCAGGAGACGCGGGCGGTAAAGCTCATGGTCACACACGGTCTGGGCCAGCGCACATGTCCCCGGAGCCGCTGCGCTGCCCGCCAGTCCCGGACGCCTGCTGCATCCCGGCTGCGGGGCCGGCCAGGTGCAGCCGCGGCGGCCAGGAGGTAGCGTACTGGCTACAAGGCCTCCGCGCGGCTTCCGCGCGCCTCTCCCCTCCTCTCCACAATGGAGCGAGCCCAGCTCCGCCCTCAGGCACGAGCGCGGAAGGGAGGGGAGGGCGGCGAGCTGAGCGCCGGAGACCGCGCGGGAAGGCGGAGGCGGGGCGGATCCTCGGGCCCCGCCCACAGCCCCAGGCTCCTCCCTCCCGCAGCCCCTCGGCCGCGTAGGAGGGCGTCCTCAGCCACCGTGTGGGGCTGCCCCCAGACCTCGTGTGAAGGCAAGCCCGCCTACATCTTCTCACTTCCTCGCTTCCCAGGTGAGCCACCCCACACCCATGCGGTGATAAAAACCCTTTTTCACACATCCGTCCCCATTCCCTCCCTTCTCCTGAGTTCCCCCGATGCCTGTACTGAATTCCCAAGATGGAGCTCACCTACTTCCACCTCATGCCCTTTACAGTTTAAAGACTTCCTTTTTTCCCTCCAAAACCACATCCCTGACCTAACTAAATCCCAGTGTTTTTACCGCTTAGATGGACACTGGTGTAATCCCAGGTTGGTCACTCCACATTCCCAAAGGAGAAATCACCTGAGTTTTTTTATTCAAGGCCCCTTGGCCAACCAACCCTACTTACTCCACGCTTGTTTCATATCCAGTGACTTCTAGTAAGAAAGTTCTTGAAGAACTTCCTTAGGCTGAGAAAATAAGAGCCAGAACTATGGACCACAGAAGCTATGCAAAAACAAAACTTGAAACCCAAGGGTAGAGGGACAGAGGGAGTTGGGGAGAGGGCCAAGGAATAAGGAGCAGTGTGATAAGCTCAAAATGTCACCAAGAATCTCAGAAGGAGACTGCTGGAACCCCACATTTCCTGTGCCTGGTAACTTTCAGAAGGCAGGCTTTGGTTTTGACTGTGTGAAGGGAGGAGTAGGAGAAAAACCTGACATCCTTAAGTGTTTACTACAAGCCAGGCCTGTTTCAAACTAAAACTGTTTCAATTCCCCAAGAAGTAAGCCTTACCCTGTTCTACTGGTGAGCCCTTGGGCTTAAAAACAAGTATACAATTTACCTAAGGTATTTAAATGGTGGTGTGCTCAGACTCAAAATTAGACAAGGATGATTCTGAAGCCGATGGTCTTTTCAGGGTATCACAGAAGAGAAAAAGGAGGGGTTATCAGTTGGTGGGGGCCAGGACCAGTAGGCTTTGTGAGAAGAGACCAGAACAATAATTCACACATCCACATGTAGGGAAGGAAGGAAGGAGTCCTCTCACCATCTGAATTCCTTAACCTGTCTCTAAGTACAGGGGACAATTAAAAGAACTGAAGAGATACAGACTGCGGGCCTGGTCTGAGCCAAAGCCTGCAGCTCTCCACTCCCTTATCTCACTGTTTCCTCCTCCTAGCTCTCAGGGGTTAAGAGGTTTCCTGAACTTGGGGTAGGAGTAGGGCAGTTATAGTTAATGGAAAATATATGGGATCATTATTAGCCCCCCCCACCAACCTCCCTCCTCACCACCAGTTATATTCTGGGCACCTTGAGGGTGCTATCCTACTATACATCCAGCCAACTGTTGCCTGACATAATTAACAGACAGTAACACCTTGGAGCCAGAGAAGCCCCACAGTTTGAGTCACTCCTGATATAGCACCCACAATAGTCAAGGGTTCCACTAGGTACTACAAGGATTTTTCAATAACGGCTCTTCAGACTAGAATAGAAATCTTCTAACAGGGACCCAAGAAAAGCAAAAGAAGAGCCATTATGAAGGGCTAAGACAGCCAATGGTAGTATAGGGAAAGCACGGCATAGCACGTACAGAAAGACGTCTAGAGGCCTCCTGTTCTAGTGCCATATATTGGTTGATGTTTTGCAAGCTAAAGAAACCTTCATTTAACTCCAGGGTAGATGAACCTGTTTAGCTGCTGAACAGAGTACCCTGGAGCACAAGGTCTAGGAGTGGCAGGGCAGCTTCTTGCAGAAAGACACAAGGATTACAGAAAAATGGTCTGAGGAAAGAGCTAGTACTCACCATTCTACTGTGGTGAAGGTCCTGGCTGTGTGCTTCTCACTGTAAGGGAACAGAGAAACATAAGAATAAAGAGCACCATTAACATCACTATACAATCAACAGATGCAACACATCTACTCCTGAACGTCTTTACAACTCTTATTCTCCCTCACAGAGAATCCAGCCTTTCCACAAGTCACCATGCCAAAGGCAATGGGAGCTACATGGGGAGAAAGCAACAAGTGACTCTGCAGGGCATGAAGTCAGCCACAAATTTCTGGAGCAGGAATGAATGTCATCAAAGATTACTCAGCAGAACTCAAGATTCCTGATTCCCAGACCCAGAAAGACAAGTCAAACACACCAAACGCTGTTCTTTGCAGGAGAGCAAAATAACTGTCAACTCTGAAGAGACAGAGGCTGTCCAGCCAAGACTCACTTTTGGCCTTGGTAGGGACATGAATCCACAGCAATGCTCTGGCACCCACCTGATCTGTTTACAGGGGGTAGAGTCCAGAGCAGAGGACAAGAGGGAGGGGATCACAACCTGTGACCAGAAGACAACGGGGCTGGACAGGTCCAGCTGGGAGTACCTGACACCAAATGAGGTGCAGGCTTTGTGGGCGAAGGCCACACACAGCAGGAACAGAATCAGGCCACTGCCTACACATCAGTCAGTACCTGTCAAATGGACCGAAGGAACAGAAATTTCAGGATGGGCCTCCTTGGACCACTTAGGGAGCGAGGAGGCCCTGGTTTCACTGACATTTTCTTTCATGCCTGCAATCCGAGCTCAGGAGCGGTCCAACAGTGCCCCGCAGAAAGCTGGGGGGATAAAACCCTCCATCTGTGGCCCTGCCCGCCTCCCTGATCACAGCCCACACTTCCTCATGGGGGAGCCAGCAAAGACAAGCCAGAGGTGCTGCCTCACAGCCCACTGGCACACAGCCTCAGAGAAATGCAGGGAAGGAGAGACAAGGACCAGGCCTGGAAGGCGCAGGTTTCCCGGACCTAGGTGATCTGCCTTGGGGGCAGCCAGGCTGGCTAGGAAGCCCAGGTGACCAGGTTCTGGGGGCGGAGCCTAAGGGCTCAGAGGCGGAGCCCCAAATGACAGAAGGCGGGGCTCACGAAAGCCGGTGGGGCCTGGGCGGGGTCAGGCACGATGCGGTCGTTGCGGTTCCCAGACTGGCAATGCACGGGGCACGGTGACTCACCCAGGCGGCGTCCGCCCGACCCTCCGAGTCCGCGCTCTCACCACTTCCGTCTCCCGCAGCTGCTGAGGCCGTGCAGCTGTGACTCCACCACGGTGCCCCTTTCTCCAACCAATGCTATGTCTGGTCTGTACCCGCCCTGGCCAATAGCCACACCAAGTCCCGCCTTGCCCCTACCACGCAGCCGCCGCCCTCTCTCTTCACGCCTCTCATTGGCCAAGTCGGGCAGACGCCCTCTCAACCGTTAGCCTATCGGGTGCTGGAAGACAAGCCTCTCCTGGAGGGAGGGGGCTCGGCGCCGGAGAGGAGACGTGACCAATGGGAAATCACAGCGCGTCCCTGTGGCAGCCAATGGAGGAGCAGTAAAATGGGGACTACTGGCTAAGGATCCAGGGGCCGGAAGTGGGGATGGCCTGTGCTGGTAGTGCAATTGGAGGCTGGGCTTTGTAGAGGTACAAGCCTTACAGCCAGTTGTGGTGTGTCTGTGCTGTGGCTTCCAGTGGCCAGAAGCTGACTCAGTCACCTGGTTTCTGAGTTGGCCTGACCTGGAAATAGTGCCTATTTGCTTCAGACAGGAAAGGGGGGTCTGGGAGGACCGGAAACTGGGGAAAATCTGAGACCCGGAGGAAGAGGAGTATTGATCAGAGCACACCCCTCCTCTATTCCAGCACGGGTCGAGGAGGGGCAGCAGCTGGTGCCATGGATGGAGGGAGAGTGGGCTTGGGAGTCAGGTTAACTGGGTTCACTTGACTTTTTATGAACTGCAGACCTAGGCCAAGTCACGTCATTTCCCTGAACTCCAGTTTCCTCATCTAAAATGAAGATGGCAGCACGGCCCTTGAAAGGTGATTGCAGGGCGAGTGAGTGGGTAGGTAATGGAGTGCCTGGCCCAGAGATACTCACGAAATGGCCATTCTCTCCCACCCTTGCTGCCTGGTAGTGTTCCCAGGCCCTGAAGTTCCTGACGCAGATCCGGGCCTAGCCTCTCATCAACCTGCGGCTGGTGAACACATCTCTGTATGAGCATGTGGAGCAGATGTGCCTCACTGGGAGGAGCCTGGAGCAGCTGAAGTTTCTGGGGGATTACCTAGGCCTGTGCTGAAGTGGAGCCCTGATGGAGCTAAGCAAGAGGTGAGTCCCCAGAACATGGGGATACAAACACATGCAGACACGCACACATGCAAGGCATCCGCTTGGGAGAAATGCTAGAGCTAGACAAGAGATCTTCCCATTGGGTTTAGGAAATTGCCACATGCTTTGGGAGTGTCTTTTATTTGTTCATGTGTTTATTCATTCAACAAATATTTATTGAGAGCACACTAAGTGCCCAGCAGTGAGCTGGGTGTGGGCTACAACACTGAGCAAGGCAGACCCGGGTCCTACCCTCTTGAAGGAAAGGCAGATGAGTAAGCCAGCAACAAGGGGGCTAAGGCTGGGAGAGAGAGGTGGGATGCGTGAAGTAAAAGGTGAGACATCTAACCCGGACTGGAGGATGGTGAAGTGGGGAAGACTTCCTGGAGGAATTGACACTTAAGGTAAGGCCTGAAGAATGAGTAGGAGTAAGAAAGGGCAAGAGAATCAGGGAAGAGCTCCAGGCAAAGGAACTGTGTGCATGGGCCATGAACGAAGGCCTCACATGTGGAAAGAACAGGGAGCCTCTGCGGGGATCGAGGAGGGAAATAGGCAGCGGCAGTGAGAGGAAAGCTGGGCAGGCAGGCGAGAGTCAGACCACGAAGGGCCCCACTGCCCTGGTCCCTCCTTCCCCGGCCAGTCCTCCATCCCGCAGCTGCTGTGTTGTGGCCTATGGCAGCATCCCGCCCAAAATCCTCAGAAAGGAGCGAGACTGGGGTGTCCCTCACGATGCCCTTCAAGAAGATTTTCTATACCCAGTGTTGGGGCCTGCTCACGGCTGGGAGGTGACACTGTCCTTCAGCGTAGACTTAGGGTCTTTCTGTGCCTGTCATAGAACCTAGACCCTAGACCCTGGGGTATGGCCCAGGTGCAGCCAGGTAGGGGAGCTGGTGCTTGGTGCCCAGCTGGGCTTTATTGCTGGGTTTATGGGGACTTGGAGCAGCTCACAAGCTCCTTCCTCCGCATCACCTCTTCAGCCACTCCTCCCTTAGGGCTGACACAGACACCTGTCTGACAGGTTGCCCCTCTTCAATCACAGTTACTGGTCTCTGTGCAGCCCCCACGTGGCTCCTAGGGGCCAGGGCAGCACGTAGTGCAGGTTCCCCAGGACTGTCAGAGGGGGCTGCTGCAGGGAGTCCTCTTTTAAGAAGAAGGGAGAGGCTGGATCCTCCCAGGCTCCTAGAGCATCCAGCTGCACCCTGGTCTCCACCTGGCCTGGAAGAACAGAAAGCCCTCTGTTGTGGCATCAGCAAGCTCGCTCCCCTCTAGCTGCAGCTGAATGTCGTGGAGCCATTGCATGGCCTTGCTGAGAGTGTGGTAGACCCAGGGGACACTGGTTTGCAGGGAAGTCCCTGGATCTGGCTGGCCCCTAGGCCTTCCATGACCATGGACAGAGGGCAGATGACAGATGACTCTCCATCCATAACAGCTCCACCCTTCCTGCCAGCTCAGTGACAGCCTGTGCACCCCTCTGTCCCCCGCCCCATTTCCCCCAATTTTCCTGGTGATAAATGGTGTCTTGCTGTTCCAAGAAAGCTGGAAGTGTACTGGGGAGTAGCCATTTGGCAGCATCCTCATCCTTTGTCTGGAATAAATTTTGAGGACTGCAAGCTCCATATCCTGAAAGTTTCAGCCCCAAATTCAGAGGCAGTACTGATTGCAGTCCCAGAGCTTTCTGGGCTAGGAAGGAAGGCAGGGTGGGGGCTCTTGGTGGGGGTCGTAGCATGCCGCAGGGCTTAATGGGGCTGGGGAAAGTATGGGTCCCAGGCCATTTCTCTGTTCCTGCCCAACCTTTGCTTTGCCCTGTGAGTGAAGAGCTGGGAGAACTCGGCTATTGATACTTTATTATTGTTAATAAATAATTAATGTGATTGTCCCACTCACCTGGACAATTTACAAAACACTTAAAAGAACATTTTCTTATTCTCTCTTCACTACAATTTACAGACCGGCAGGGCAGACATTTTGCAGCCGGGGAAACTGAGGCAGGGAGGTACTGTGACTTGCTGAGATTTGCCCAGGTAGCAAGTGGCCGAGTCGGTACTCTGATCCCGGAGCTGCCCTGAAGGTCACGTTTTCCTCCTCCCATTGTGGGACTACCTCCCAGAGCCCTTGTACGAGAACATAGAGAGGCAGCCTCGGGCCACCTCACTCGATGCCAACACTGGGCGCCCCTACTACTACAACCCAGACACAGGCGTGACAATTTGGGAGTTGGGAGTCGCCCTTTGAGGCTACCGAGGGCGCCACCAGCCCGGCCACCTCCCCGGCCTTGGTGGGCAGTCACGAGAGCTTTGCGACCGAGTGGGACCAGTCCTGGGATGATCGTTGCAAGGTGTTCTACTACCCGTTGATGGGCGACACTGTCCAGTAGGACGAGCCCTAGGACAAGATGGAGATGCAGCCGGGCCTAAACGCTTGCAGCCCCAGGGCCCAGAGGGTGGGAGGCGGGGCCTGTCCGGGGTGGGCGGGGCGACAATGAAGGCATCTGATCCCGCCTCCAGCTTCCCACAGCCCCCGGGATTGCCCTGCTGGGCGTGACCTGGTCCGAAAGAGCGGAGCCATGGGTTAGTAGTGCCTCTGAGACCCTCTGACTCTTCTGCTCCCTGCAGCCCCCTACCTCCAAGACGGACTACCCCGAGTTGGTGACCAGTTACCCTGAGGAGGACTACTCCCCCTTGGGCTCCTTAAGTGGCCACGACCCCCAGGTGGTCTTGCCACGTAGACCCAGAAGGACAGACGCTCTACACCAGCCACTTCACCCAAGAGCAGGTAGGGGCAGCGGGCAGTAGGCCCAGACCAACCCTGGAGTCCCTGCTGCAGCCCTTCCTCACTAGTAACTCCCCTTAACCCTCTAAACTGCAGCTCCAGCAGGGCTCCAAGCCAACCCAAGAAACTGCGACACCTGCACGTCCCTCCAACCCCTTGGGTTATGTTGGGCTCTGGTTGGAAGGAATCTTTTCCTCTCCTCTCATGAGATGGGCGGGAGCCCTGAACACCCCTCTTCCCACAGTGGGTGAGGTTGAAGGACCAACACAGAAAGCCCTGCCTCTGCAAACCAGATGAGCGCTGGGTTCAGTGGGAGCTGCTCCAGGTAACCAACTGGGGAAGGGAGAGAGGAGGGGATTGTATGACAGTGTCTTTCTCGACAGGACTCCCATCCCTGCTCCTTGAAGCTTCCACAAGTCTCACAACCAGGACAGTGAGACCCTAGCCCAGGCCAGCCCCCCTGAGAAGGGAAGGGAAGGGGCTTGCAGGCCTTGGCAGGACCTCCCCAGAAGAGATGGTGTGTTGCTGGAGGTCCTGGGGGCTGAGACTGGGTTGGGCGTGTCTCCCCCCATAGGCCCAGCACTAGCCTGGGCTGAATGAACTTGGGTCTGGGCCATCCCAGGCCCAGAGTTCGGTGAGGTTGGGAGCGGAGCTGGGAGGAAATATCTCCTCTTGCTGTGGGAGCAGGCACCCACCACCATCAGCAGCAAAGAGGGTTCAGTGGAGACTCAGGCCCAACCTGTGGGGAGCTGCTGGCTGTGACGGACTAGCCTCTGCCCTTCTCCCACCTGTGGCTCACCACCTTAACTGCCTCCTCTTTCCACATTTCAAGATCAAGACCTTGGAGAAGGCAGGTGTGCTCCATTGAACCAAAACAGTGGACAAGGGGAAGCAGCTCTGGTGAGAGCGCATGTGCACCAGACCAGGGCAGCAAGGGCCTTACTGATGATGCTCACTGAGCATCTCCCATTTGCCAGGCCTGTGTGACTCTCAAAAGACTTTATAAGAGGTCCTGTGAGGGAGGACAGTGAGGCACAGGGATAAAGTGACTTCCCTGTGGTCCCTTGGTTCCTAGGTGTCAGCATTGGGAGTCTGCCCCTCACAGTTGAGTGCCCCAAGCTGCATTCATAAGCTCTGTTCCCTACTCCTGGGAGTGGGAGGGGGTCCTCAGCCGAGGGCCAAATACAAGCCTAACCCCCACTAAGCAGCAGCACTGGAGTGCCTCCTGGATGGTGCTGGAGGGTAGCATCCTGACATTCTTCAAGGACTCAAGACCTCAGCTGCAGGCAGCCAGGTGAGACCCAGGCCCCTAGGGTAGGGACCTCCCAGTCTGCTCCTGACTCCTACAGTTCCTTGCCTGATATGGCTTGTCAAAGGCTTGTCTGAGACAGTGGAACTTAAGTGTCAAGGGAGCTGGGCCTTGCCAGGGGGTGATGACAGCAGATTCACCCCAGGACAAGCACTTCCAGCCACCCTGGCCATGGGGAGCAGTCCTAGCGGGATTAGGCTGGGTACTAGGCACCCTGCAAGAACAGAGGCTGCCCTCCTTTCTCCTTTACTCTCCTGGGTGGGTAGTCAGCAAAGGACCAGTCTCCTCCAAGGCTGTGTGGTTAAGAAGTACCAGGATCTATGGGTACCAGGAACCCTTGGGTTCCCTTCCTCCAGAGCTGTGACTCCATGGGGCCAAAGGAGCCTGGTGGATTGGAGCCAGGGAGCTGTGGCAGGCCTGTCTGAGCAGAGGGCTCCTGGTAACCATGCTTCCTCCGACCCTTCTCCTCTCTCCCACAGAGGCAGTCTTCCAAGCTCTCCATCCCTAAGTACGCAGTGGAGCTGAAGGGGGCCTCTCTTGCCTGGGCCCCCAGTAAGAAAATGTGCTAGAGGTGAGTGGTAGGGATAGGGAGGAGAGGGAGCTTACTGCTGGTTCGGGACCCACCCAGACAAGCCCCAAGGTAAGGAGGACTTGGGGAAAATGGGGGTGAAATTCTCAGGGCTCAAAGCTGAAGTTGTTCCCACCTGAGGGATCTGTCCACAGTGTTTCTAATGTCACAGATTTTTCAGTCCCCTCTCCAGGAGCTGTGTTCACCAGTCCTTGGCCCTGGAGAGTGGTGAGGAATAGGGGGTCTCTGGGGGGTAAAACTGTAGATGCCTAGAAGGGCAGCCCTTATCCTAGCTGCTCTGGCCTCAGACAGACAGAAGACCCTGCATTCCTGGCTTCTTACCCTGACAAGCTGGAAAGCCTCCAGCTGATTAGAGCCCAGCTTCCAACTAGACTGGTCCTTGTGAAAAACTGGGGCAGTTGCACATTTCTCAGGCTCCCCCAGCAGGAAAAGAGAGGCCAGGTGGGGCCAGGAGAGGACCTCACAGTGTTGCCTTGTTTTTAAACTAGTTTTACCCTCACTTCAGTCCCCAGAAGTATTAGGCAGCTCACGACAAAAACACACAAAATCTACTACAATGCCAGGATCAGGCCAAACAAGTTACAGAACTAGGCCAGTGTGGGGAGGGGCAGATGAGGTTCAGGTGCTAAGGTTATTACTAGAGAAAGTTAGCCCCAGGTTTCCTGATAACCTAAATGAAAAAAACGAAAAACAACAAAAAAACCTTCCCAGATTGTGAGGGAAATCAAAGCTTCTCCCTAGTCCTTAGTTCTTGGAGGCATTTTTAGTGTGCAACTCCTTTCTCATTCAGTAAGGTACTCTTGGGGCTGCTTCGGGGAACACGATGAAAGCCAAAAGCATGACATTACATCTCAGCTCAGAAAAAGCATTTCTGCAAAGAGCTTGAGTATGTTGTTTTCTAATGGTCCATCAAGCTTCATTCAGTTCTAGACCCAGAGTATCCACAGAGCAGGTTTGGAAAACCAGTTTCATCTCATGAACTGCTCTGATCAGTCCGTCTGGAGCCTTCTCCAGGCTTGGGAGGTTAGAGTGTTACCATCAACTAGCAGTGTCTGCCATGGGTGGTCATATTGAGGAGGAACATCACTTCTGCTAGGCATGTTCCTTTCCTAACCTAGAGGGACATCTCTCAACCATCGATCTATAAATGTCACCTCTCTGACTGGGCTTCTGATGAAAGTTCAGAGTAAACACTTCGGAGTTGTCTTTTTTGGCAAGGACAGGAAGGCAGATGGCGCTCTTGGAAGCTACTCAAGCTGATGGGAAGTCTGTCAGTCTTGAATGGAAATTAAGGAGCCCCCAGCTTCCCAGTTGGCAGATGGCCATCCTCCCTCCACTCGGGTGGCCTGCAGGTAACTCTTACGATTTTTCTCAAGAGACAGTCCCAGATTCTATAACACAGCTGGGTTAGTTGAGCCTGGCAAAATTTCATAGCACATCTTCCTAATCCCCCACAGAGCCACAGAAAACTTCAGTAAGAGGCCTCCAAAAAGAGCGAGCTTGGGGTGGCTCAGCTGTGTATTCAACAGGATGAATGTTTTGTGAGATATATTGCTATGTAACTATAAAGCTTTGCCTTCTGAATGAAACTTTCAAACATGAACTGATTGTTTTGAGAGAGTTGCCAAAAATAATCATTGTTGTTTTAGAAGCATTGTTAGGCCATTCTCTGGGATAACAGAGGCAGGGCTCTTGTTAGCTTAGATTATGGGCTGTACTGCCTATCCACTGAAAGTTCTCTGTCTTTGCAGGGAGAGGGGTGAATGTGCAGTTTTTCTTTTCCTTTTTGTAATTTTTTAAAGCAGTTTAAGTAGCATTCAAGTGTAAATTTAAAAGGTAGACAGCCCTGATCTGGAAGTTATACCTTGTCTGACTCTCACTGGACCCAAAGGTCCAGTTGGTGTGAGCCGTGTTATGAAACATTCACATTAACCTTGATCTCTCAGTCCGCAGAGCCAGAGGCTGATGAGAGATCTATCCAAGTTTGCTGACCACCTAACCCTGTTCTTCAGAGTCTTTGTTACAACAGTAGCTGGATGAAGAATAGCCTGCGCTGTGGGTATCTGCTTGGTCCTTAATAGTATAAAATAGTGGCTTTGGAAACCCAGATTCCAGGGCTTCTTAAGAATATGGCCTGTGGTCTGCATGGAACCTCCAGCAAATTTACAGGGCAGTGCTTCCTCCAGCTGACAGACCACGTGTGTCTCCCCAGTGAATAAGAATAAGTGCGTTGGTTCCCCCCAGCCTGCTGGCCAGAAAGTGCTCTAACTAGTCAGAAAGTGGCCAAAAGTCTCCCCTTGAGTTTTGTTTAATTTACACTTCATGATAAAGTGGACAGTGAGAGGTGCATTGCCTGGGCTGGAGTGTGGGAGAGGGTGTAGACTCGTGGCTACAAAAGTGAAAAACACTCCTAGGTTCCCAGAGTGTGTGGAATGCAGGAGGTGCTTGTTTTCTCTGGGATCAGCCCCAATATGCTTTCAAAGCTTTCTGCCCAGCATTTTCTTCACTGCTAATTCTAGCCACCAGGGGCCTCCCACCAGGTATTTCTTCCATTGGCTGCTTGCCAGTGCTCTGGGTGAGGCCTGCCATGTTCTGTGGTTCTTGGGGCTGGGGAAAGTGTACTAGACAGCTGGGCCATTCATACCTGCTGCACTCAGATCCTTGCTCTCTCACTCACTAGTTGTGTATCCACTAGCAAGTTGCTTAAATTGGTAACAGGGATGTCATCACCTACTTTTTTATGAGGTGCAGTACCTTGGCCTGGGGTGAGCTCTTGCTCCATTAGGCTCTGAGTTCCTGGGAACAGGGAGAGATCACCTCCGTCTCTCTATCCCCCTCTGAGACCTGGCCCCAGTCCAGACCCAGGTAACCAGAGATGACTGACTGACTTGTGTCCCTGTAGCTGCAGAGCCAAGATGGCTCAGAGTACCTGATCCAGCATGACTCGGAGGCCATCATAAGCACCTGGCACATGGCCATTGGCCAGGGCATCCAGGAGCTGGTAGGCAGAGCTTGGGGTCTCACTGCTGGTGGGGAGAGGAGGCCAGCCATTATCAGGGCAGCTGTGCCCACAGTGGATAGGGCTCTGCACTCAGGCTCCAGGGGTTCCACAGCAGCAGTGGGTAAGTGCCCCTCCCTGCAGACACAATTCCACATTGTGGCTGGATGGCAGATGGGCTGCTGAAGAAATAGCCTTTCTAAGTGTATGAATCCAGCCTCGGGCTGGCCCTGCAGGAGCTCTTTCCAGGTAGGGGTTGGGGCACATCCTAGAGGAATGTCCCATTTCAAGGGAGGCAGGAGGAAAAGTAAATATCTGAAAAACAGCCTCAGGCTGGAAGGACAGGCTGGGACTAGAAGATAAAATTTTAAAGGATTGAATTCAAGAGTCTACCATTTTTTAGGTTTAAAATACCAATTGCTTAAGTAGCGATAGGATAGGCCCCCTTCTGATAGCTATTCACCTGGTAACAATCTGGGGCTTTTTGACCCTTAATCTCCTAGAAGCCAACACTGGATGCAGTGTTAGGTCATATTACTAGAGGTAGGAACTAGATCCAGGGAGGTGATGCTGGTGCAGTTCTGGCCAGTGCTCAGATTGCAGCCACATTAGCAATGGTTTTTATTGGGAGGCCTCCCCTGGAGTATCCCATGGGTGCCCCAGCATCACCTCTGTACCCCTAACTAAACCTTCTCCATTTTCCCTCTCCCTTTTAAAACTGATCTTTCCAGTGCTTCATTCTTTAGCATGGGTGACTAAGCCTACGCTGCTGCCATGTCCAATAACGGAAACTTGCCTTTCTCTATAATGGGGTTGCAGGCAAGGTCAATAGGGGGTCTTCCAAAAGCATCTTGAGAATCACTGCTTTTTGGTGCCATCTCCAGCTACTCCCTATCAGCTCTGTGGATGACAGACCTGGAGCTATGGCTGGTGCCCCACTGGAGACAGGACACTCTTTGAAAAGACAGCACAGGGGGTCTTTTGGTGTTGAGGGACCAACAAAGTGGAACCAAGAACCAGAGAACACAGCCCAAATCCCTGCTCTACAGCTATGTAAAATAGGGATATTAACACCTACTTCCCCGGGATAGTGAGCACAACAGAGGGAGTTACAAATGTTGGTGCCCTGCAAGCCCCACTTCCTGAACATAGTGGCCTCTACTGGCTATTGGATGACTGCACAGTGAGCTGACCTCCAGGCGGGGATGTGCGAGTTTTTCTCCACTTCTGAATCTACCTGATGCTGGGGTTCTCATGACAGACCCATAGCTCCCTTTGCACAAAATATATTCTGTGTAATGATAGTAATTTGGAAAGATTTTAAGCACCTTATTGAGGTATTGACATACATATATATCCATGAAACCATCATCACAATCAGATAGTGAACATCTCCAGCACCCCCAAAAGTTGCCTTTGTGCCCCTTGGGACTCCCTCCCTCTACCCTTTCCTGTTCCTCCATGCCCAAGCAAATATTGACCTACTTTCTGTCATTGTAGATTAGTTAACATTGTCTAGAGCTCTCTGTAAATGGAATCATACAACATATACTCTTGTTTGGCTTTTTTCACTCAACATAACTTTTGAGATTTATGCATGTTGTGTGTACCAATAGTTCTTTCCTTTTTATTGCTGAGCAGTATTCCATTATGTGAATGTACCACAATTTGTTTATCCATTCAGTGTGAAGGTAATTTTTAAAAATCAGTATAATTCCCTAACTATAATATGTAAGAGAAATTGGAGGAAAGTGATGAAATAATAGGGAAGTTCCATGCTCAGGCACAATCACACAAAAACACAGTGATGCAGTCAGATGTTTCACCTATACATACAATTCCATGAACCCAGTTCTTTGCCAGAAACTATGGTTTGATTCAAAAGCCCAGCAGTTGGCCACTTCATGCAGAAAGGTACAATGCCATGTGACCCAAAGAATAGGGACTGAGACTGAACAGAGGAGAAAGGCAAATTTTTAGCTCAGTGGAAAGATTAATTCTCAATGGGCTGGCCACCAGAGTGGCATGCTTCTTTTCAAGTTGTGTGGCTGGTGTGTTTGGAGTGGACCACCTTGGGATTTCTCCAGTCTATCGATTATCCAGCCTCGTTTGCTAAGGTCCGAATTTACTTTTTCAAAAGCATGCTTCTATTTCACTTATCTTGCATTTCACAACACAATCCAGGGGCTTTTCATTGGCACTTTCCTGAACAGAAATAAAACTTTCAAAGCCCCATGCTCCCAGACCAGCAGTAGACATTGGCACTTCTCAAGCCTGCTGAGGGCCTCTCTCAGGGTAGAATATAATTCTGTGGAAGAAAGTGTTTAACAATGCTTTTGAGGCAACAAGGATTTAGAAGCCTCTACTACAAATGCAACTTTGTTATATTTACCTTCCTGGATAACCTACCCACCTTGTCATTATTAAAGGAGTTTGTTAGTGGTAACCTTTGGCTTCAGAGTGGCTTGTCCTGGCAAGGAACTCATTCCAGAAACTTTGAAGAATTCAATTTACCCAACATGAGTGCTACAGAGAAGGATCAAAATCCATCACAAGTATGGTGGGACAAGTAATAGGCAGGTTCTCTAGTCTTTGTTTCTTAACTGTGTTTTTAACATAACAACCCATTTCCCTCCCAAATCCAGTTAAATATGTTATACATTCATTCATATGCTTTTCCTGTTTTCCCTCAAAATGTTTGCCTTCTACTTTTTCTAATTTCTTGAGTTGAATGCTCAGCTTGTTTTCTTTTAGTGGAAGGAAGACAGTTAAGACTATGAATTTACTTCTAAATACAGTTCTGGATAAATTTCAGAAACTTGATATGTTAATGTCATTTCCATTGTTTTAGAAACCTTTTATTCCAGATCTTAATTTGTCTTTGACCCAGTGATTATGCAAGGGATAAAAACCATGTAAGTCTGGGTAGAGGAAATCCTGGGGCAAAATACCTCTAAAAACTGAAATCAGTCAAAGGGAGAAATAAAGTTTAAAATCCATTTATTGTTCACAAACTGCAGTCCAGGGCCTTCTCTCTTTCCTGCTCCAGCAGAAGCAACACCCTCACCTCTCAGGTACAGATAAGCCCTCTGTTGCCCAGGTAATTATCCACTGATATGGAGAACTTCTCTCCACCCCTGAGGCTATGCAAATGCACTAAAGCCATACATCTTTCCACCTCTGAACGCCTATTGATATGCAGATGTACTAAAGCCAGGAGAGATATTCAGGAAATATTACAATTTTATCCACAGGCCACCCCTCAAAAAATCTCACCTTACAATTTACTTGTTTGCCCTCTTCCGAACAAACTAATGACATACAATAGCAACAGCAATAAAATCATGATAATCCTCAAGCCAGAGGATTCAGCCTATGCAGATTAAGTAAATGTACTTCACAGCACAATTTCTCACTAAGCACAAAATACGTTTCTGCACTTGTTTACTCATTCCTAACAACCATGCTAGATTACTCACAAAACTTTTATCAGACATTAGACAAAGTCAAGCCTCTCTTTAAGCATTTTTTTCGTGACAACAGCAATACAATCATGGTAATTCTCAAGCCAGAGGATTCAGCTAGGTTCAAAGTCCCATGCAGGTAAGTCCAAAGCTTGTCCATTTCAGCCATCACGCAGCAGCTGCAGCCAGGAGGCACATCCAGGCCACAGGACTGTAGAAGCAAATAACCGTAATTGGGGGTGGGGGGTGGGAATGGCACTCTGCTGTTATTCCAGGAATACACAAGAGGCCAGCTTCCAGGCCTTTCCCCCAAGGTGCCAGAAGGGCCAGCCATGGCTGGTCCATGTGTCAAATGTCCAGGGCCACATCCATTTTATTCCTAATTGCTGCACCCATCCTTGCAATGCATGTCCAATAAAGTGGGTGCCTTAATTGCTCTCAATCACCAGCAACCAACCATAGGCTGCAGAGAGACACTCTAGGCCCCTCTTGGTAGTTTGCTGATCTGCATAATGTGCAGGGCACTCCTTCCGGGCTCGGGTGACTTCTTCAAAGGTCAATGGCAAGCCCCACTGATGGGCTACAGCCCACATTGTCTTTTGCCCTGTGTGCAACAAATGCTGATGTAGCCATTGGGCCACATCAGAAGCAGGCTTTTCTTCTAACCAGCACCCCGGGCCAATGCGTCTGCTTCATTATTCCCTGAGGATGCCAAAGGCAAATGGCCAGTCACATGATATACAGTATGAAAGAAGAGAGGGGATGCGAACTCAACAGTCCAAGCAGATTTATTGCTGAACCTGAGAGGGAACCCTCTGTCCTAGGACAAAGGGTCTCTTACAGTTCAAGAGGCTTTTTACAGCCAGGGCTTTGGTGGGCTCTTTCTGAGGGGAAGACTCAGGAAAAGTGGGCTTCTGGCTTGCTGATGTGTCCTGCAGGATGCTTGTACCCTAAGATGAAACCTAGGTCTCTCTGAGGTGGTGGGTGGGCTTATTCAAAAGGTGGTATTCAGGTCCAGGTTCTATCATGGTAGGTGTCTGTGTCACATCACTCTGTGGCCTTTGGGTCCAGTCTCTCACCCACTCCACAATGGGATCCATAGCCAGCAAGGTGTGGTACATACACAGCAGCCAGTTGCTTCTCTATCAAGATGAACCAGATGTCTGCTCCTTTCCATAGTTGTGAGCAGGCTCCAGCTGGCAACAGAAACAGCAGCAGTGGCCTTAAGCTCAGGCCACGGGCCGGAGTTAATGCGGCGAGCAGCAGTGGTGGCTCCTCCGTGACCACATGGGACACATGTCCCTTGGCGCAAATGCCACTTCTTCCCATCATTTCTAGGGGCAGCCCTCCAAAAGGTCACAACCATTATGACAGATTTTGGGTTCAGAGAAATCCTGCAGACTACACCAGACATAAGCTCGGGAAGAGGAAATCAAGGGTCAAATAGCTCTAAAAACTGAAATCAGAAGGAGAGGGAGGATTCTCAAGATGGTGGCTTGAGTAGGGTGGTGGAAATCTCCAAAAACCATATATATTTTGAAAATACAGCAAATATAACTATCCTAAAAGAGTGACTGGAAGATACAGTACATGAGCCAGTCTACATCTATGAGAGCCCAACATCTCACAGAAAGGGGTAGGATATAAAGCTGTGACCAGGTGAGACCCGAGCACTCCACCCACCCCAGCTCACTGGCAGGAGGAAGGGAATCAGAGGGGAGGGAGTGGAAGCACAGGACTGCTAAATAACCAGCCCTGGTGATCTGCCCTGGGAGCACAGACACACAATACATGGTGCACTGGATATTGGAGGGGGGGAAAAAGCAAGGTCCAAGATTGAGAATGAGAACAGGTTCCCACAGCCAGCTGCCCTGAGACAAAAAAGCATTTTAAAAGTCTTAGACAAGGGTTTGTAACAGGTGGACAAAATCGTCCTGGCACACTCAGTCCAGCAGGCTGGGAACTTTAAGGAACTTAAGGTGCCCTAACCCCCTGAGTAGCAACACAGCTCTGAAGCCCCTTGCAGTGATGAGCAGTCTGCCATTCATTACCCCCCTACTGGCACTGCAAGCAAACCAGCTGATCTGCCATTGCTGAGAAAGCTGGGGAGCAGCACAGCCAACAGCAACCACAAAGCTTAGCACAGAGGCTTCTCCCTGCATGTGGCTAATTGGCCTAGACCCAGAGGCTGCTCCCTGCACGCGGTTTACCAGCACAGAGAGTAGAGACCAGCACAGAGTCTGGGAGCCACAAGGGGGCTTTGTTCTCACAGCAGAACACGTGCCACTCCCCTGTGACCTCCGCCAGTGCCCTAGGCCATCCTGAGGGCTGCAACACCCACAGCAGCTCAGGGGATTAACCCAGAGGCTACTCCCTGCGTGTGGTGGACTGGTGCAGACAGTGGAGATGGGCGCAGAGTTCTGAAGGCACGAAGGGTCTCCTGTTGTGGCAGAACATGCGCCGATCGCATGCGACCCCTGCCAGTGCCCTAGGCCGTCCTGAGGGCTGCCCCGCCCACTGCAGCTTAGCTTAGAGGGCTGCTCCCTCCACACGTTGTCCGGCACAGTGAAGACAGGCGCACAGTCCAGGCAGCACAAAGGAGCTTTGTTCTTATGGGAGATCACACGCTGCTCACCTGCAACCCCCACAGGTGCCCTAGGCTATTCCAAGGGCTGCCTGGCCCACGGCAATTTAGGGGATTAATTGAGGCTGTTCCCTGTGCACAGCTGATTGGCAGAGACAGCGGAGATGGGCCCGGAAACCGGGAGGCACAAAGGGCTTTGCTCTTGTGGCAGAAGAGGCGCTGCTGGCCTGCAACCCCCACCATTGCCCTAGGCCATTTCAAAGACCACTCTGCCCACGGAAACTAAGGAGATTAACCTGGAGGCTGCTCCCTGTGGGTGGTTAACCAGCACAGAACAGCAGAGACAGGCAAGGTGAACAGCAAGCAGGAAGGAAGTTTGTTCTCCCAGCTGACACACGTGCCACTTGCCGGCAACCATTCCCATCATCATGAAAAGGCAGAAGAACCTTGTTCAGTCCAAAATCCCTCAAACAGCAGAGAGAGGACTTGGTGAGACTTAAATCACAAAAAGAACTCAAAATAAAAGTCATAAGCATGCCAATGGAGCTGCAGAGAAATATTCCAGAGCTAAGGGAGGAATTAAGGAGGGAGATATCAGAAATGAACCAAACGATGGAAGGATTTAAGAGCAGACTGGATGAGGTTGAAGAAACTGTTAATGGAATAGAAATCAGAGAACAGGAATACAGAGAAGCTGAGGCAAAGAGAGATAAAAGGATCTTTAGGAATGAAAGAATATTAAAAGAATTGTGTGACCAATCCAAACACAACAATATTCACATTAGAGGGGTATCAGAAGAAGAAGAAGAGAGAAAAAGGGATAGAAAGTGTCTTTGAAGAAAGAATTGCTGAAAACATCCCCAATCTGGGGAAGGAAATGGACCATGGACATCCACAGATATCCCAACACAAGGGACCCAAGGAGGCAACACCAAGACATACAATAATTAAAATGGCAAAGATCAAAGACAAGGACAGAGTATTAAAAGTAGCCAGAGAGAGAAAAAATATCACCTACAAAGGAAAATCCATCAGGCTATGATCAGACTTCTCAGCAGAAACCTTATAGGCCAGAAGGGAATGGCTTGATATATTCAATGCAATGAAACAGAAGAGCCTCGAACCAAGAATACTCTATCCAGCACAATTATCATTTAAATTTGAAGAAGGGATTAAACAATTCCCAGATAAGCTAAAGATGAGGGAATTTACCTCTCACAAACCATCTCTACAATGCATTTTAAAGGGACTGCTCTAGATGGAAGTAAGCCTAAGGCTAAATAGATGTCACCAGAGAAAATAAAACCACAGCAAAGAAAGTAGATCAACCAAATACTAACTAAAGTCAAAATAAAATCAAGTATCCACAAAATCAGTCAAGGGAAACACAAACAGTACAGAATAAAACATCTAACATGTAAAGAATGCAGTAGGAAGAAAAAAGGGAGACAAAGAAATCTTCACACTGTGTTTATAATAGTGTAATAAGTGAATTAAGTTAGACGGTCAGATAGCAAAGAAGCTGCCCTTGAACCTGTGGTACACACAAATCTAAAGCCTGCAATGGGAATAAGTACATATCTATTGATAATCACCCTAAATGTAAATGAACTGAATGCACCAATCAAAAGACACAGAGTAATACAATGGGTAAAAAAGCAAGACCCATCTCTATGCTGCCTACAAGACACTCACTTCAAACCCAAAAACATACACAGACTAAAAGTGAAAGGATGGAAAAAGATACTTCATGCAAACAATAGGGAGGAAAAAGCAGGTATTGCAGTACTTGTATCAGACAAAATTGACTTCAAAACAAAGAAAGTAACAAGAGATAAAGAAGGACATTACATAATGATAAAGGGGACAGACAACAAAAGGATATAACCATTATAAATATCTATGCAACCAACACAGGAGCACCTACATATCTGAAATGAATACTA